GGCTCGATCCCCAGTAGGTATGCAGGAGGCACCTGATCAATGATTCTCTCTCATCATTGATGTTTCTATCTCCCTTCCTCACTGAAATCAATAAAAAATATTTTTTTAAAAAGAAGTAAGAGAAGTATACATGAGCAAAGGAGAAGCACCTGAGCTGACTGGGGGAGCTCACAGAATAGTTGATATTTGAGCTGAGTTTTGAAGGATCAGTTTGATCACTATGAGTTCGTTTGGCAGAGAAATGAAAGTCATTTTTATGCAGAAGTAATAGCAATTATAAAAGCTCAGAGGTGAAAAGGGCATAGTTCTGAGAATTGTAAATATGGCAGGGTTGTGGATATGAATATTTATTGGGGTGCTTGGAAGATATTGGGAGCTAGATCATACTAAGCATTGTAAGCCACACATATTAGTTAGGAGTCTACAGATAAGAATCCCCAGATTCATGTGACTTAAAAACAAGAGCAATAATGAATTTAGCATCTCAAATAATATGTCCATATATAGGGCTGCTCCCATACTGGTTAACTCAGCAGCTTTATGATGTTATCAAGGACCCAAGTTTTTCTTGTTACTTTCAGGCCTGTCCCCCACCATAGTTGTAAACTTTTTATTGACTTATACTCTTTTTAGGAGAAAACCTTTCCAAGAAATGTCTTCTCTTCTCTCTTTCCTTCCAACAGCTGACTCTCATTCACGTCATTTGTTAGAAATGCATCAGATGTTCGGATTCAATATTTGGGGATAGAATGGGCCATTGTGATTGACTTAGACCAACCATACTTTATTCCCTGGGGGTGGGGTTGGAGCTTAGCGCTCTTTAATCACACAACTAAGTATAGTATTGTAGTTACTCAAATGAAATTGGGATTCTGTTAACACGGTGAAAGAGACATTGTTGGCTTTTTGAGTAGGCGTCAGCAGAATCTGCCATAACATGCCAAAGGAATTTGACCTATATCCCATTGGGATGGGGAAAACACGGGAAGATTTTAAAATAGGAAGTAATGTGATTATATTTCACTAGTGTATCAGAATGGAGGTATACTCAGGAGGAGCACAGATCTGTAGGCAGGGGCACAAGTTAGCAGGTTTCATTGAAAGATATTGGAGAGGATTTTAGACATTTTAATTAAGAACTCCTAGCGTCTAATTGAATAGAATGGTGAAAGGGAGTAGAGATTCTAGAATGATTTACAAATTTGTGCTTGGGTGAATGATAGGGTATTTAATCAAAGTTGGTTAAATATGAACAGAGGAGGTTTGGGTAGATAAGGTGAGAGTAAAGAGACGATGAGCTTAGTCTTGGATAATGAGGTGACTTCAAGACATTTGAAGATGGATGAGTAAATATGGGAGGAAGAGTGGAGACCACATTACTTAAGAGATTGTGGAAGGATGGAGTGTGGAATGAAAGAAAATTGATTAGAGAAATAAAGCAACGCAGACAACTGGCACCGAGTGTGGGACTGGTTTGGTTGATTTTGCTCAGGACTGGGTAGAGTCAAGAACTTCCTGAGAAAATTGCCAAGGTAATTGTAGACAAGCCTTTAAAAAGCAGTTAAAACGTGTTTTGAAATATGGATTTCTATAATTTGTTTCAACATGTTGACTTGACTTACAGCAAATGAGATGGAGAAATTATCTCAACGCTTTTTCTTCTTCTTCTTCTCATTTTTGGCTAACTGGAAACCTCAGAACTCAGCTCAGTGAGCTGTTAATCAGATAAACATTACAGGTTTGTGTAAAGAGTCTTGCTTTACAAATGCTTGAGGGCATATGGACTTATTGAAGGAAGTGCTGTCCAAACCAACTAGACTAAGAAAGTAAGAGGAAAACCAGTTGGGATTGAAATGCAGGTTTGGCCCTGGCCGATTTAGCTCAGTGGATAGAGCAGTTGGCCTGGGGACCAAAGGCTCCTCCCCCGCCCAGACCCTGGCTCTGGCACGCGCAGAAGGCAACCACTCCATGTGTTTCTGCCACATAGATGTTTCTCTCAGTCTTTTCCTCTCTTCCACTCTTTCTAAAAGATCAATAGGAAAATATCTTTAGGTAAAGATTAACAAAAAAATAATTAAAAATAAATAAATACTTAAAATGCAGGTTTGTTTTCTGTTTTAAAATAGTAGATGTGAAGTGTAAATTAGAAGGTGTTTCAATGCAACTTCAAGTTCTAAGTTAATATAGTTCATAAACCATATGAATTAAGTACTGTTTCAAGCATAAATAGAAATTCTGTTTCCATTCAAAAACATTAGAGTCGGTGGAACACTAGAGTTTGAAATATACATAAGTTAGACTTAGAGCTGCACAGCTGGAAGGCAACTTCAATAATAAAAAAAAATCCAAACATTGGTTGAGTTTTTTCCCATGTCTATCTTGTTCCAAGGCACTGAACTGGGCTCTAAATTAAAAACAAAAACAAAAACTGATATTTGTATAATGTTGTGGTTAATCTTAACTTTATGCAACTATTTTACTCACTGTGGTTTCTGGGGGCCAGATTAGCTATAATACTTGAAAAAGAGTAGGGATTGAGGAACAGAGAAGAACCTGAAACTGAGAATTGAGGGAGAAAGGTAAGTTAGGAAGTCAATTTGGTTGGAAGGGTAACAGAGGGAAAAAAAATACAGTTGATCCTTGAACAACATGGCTAAAGGGTGCCAACACTGAGCAGTTGAAAATTCGCATATAACTTTTGACTCCCTCAAAACTTATTTACTAATAGCTTACTGTTGACCAGAAGCTTTACAGATAACATAGTCCATTAACACATTTTTATATGTGTATTATATACTGTATGCTTAAAGTAGCTAGAGGAAAGAAAATGTTGCTTAACAAACCATAAGGAAAATACATTTATAGCACTGTATATATTTATTGAAAAAAATCCATGTATTAGTGGACCTGTGTAGGTCAAACCCATGTTGTTCAAGGGTCAACTATAATCATGATACTGAATATATAAACTGGACAACCGCCAGACTATATATCACAATTAGAACTCTGACCCACAACCTCTGTTGCAGTCAGCCCAGAACTGTTGACTGATGAATGACTGTCTGCTTCCCTATTTTTTGCCACTGTCCCTCCAACTTAGGAGCAATTAGAGAAAGCCAAATATGTTCCTTCCCCTTTTCTCTCCCCCCTCCCCTTTTCCCCCAACTCCATTACATAAGGTGCCCTGCTCTGGTTTAGTCTGCCTCTAGCTTCCTCATTCTAATACTCTCAAACCAGAGCATCCATGAAACCTAAACCCTCACCCTCATTTTTCTTTTACTTTTAGCTTCCTACTCCCCCGACACCCTTTGAGTTTCTGCCCGACACAAAAGATGGTGGCTGATTGCCTTGTTATAGGCAGACATGGAGTAAATAGCCTCTTTTTGTTCTCACTTGGGTTGTCTTCACTTAATTCCAGTTATCCGTTCACTTATACATTTTCTATTAAGTGTATGTTATATGCCAGGCAGTGCCCAACATTTAAGTGGAAGCACACAGTCCCTGCCCTCAAGGATATTCATTCTGTCCATTTGGACAGACAGATAGACAGACACATAAAAACAATTGCAATTCAATGTAGCCAGCGAAACAACAGGCATATACAAACGGGGGTATAGGTCAAGTAAGGCTATTAGAAGAGATGAGGCTAGCTGAGTCTGTGCCACGTTTGTAAGGACTAAAAGTCAGGGAAGAGTATTCAAGGCAGCTGCAGGGGTGGGGAGAGGCAGTAGGAGCAATGCCAGAGAGGGCAGAAACCAGAGCGCGTCGCTGGAGTCTTTTAGGGGAGGGAAGGGGCAGCGAAAGACGCTGCACGGGCGGATCGTGCGTGGACGGCCATGCCTGTGCCACGTTTGTAAGGACTCGGACTTTATCCTTTCCAAGTGGCTCCCTCCCGGCAATGAACCGGCTGTGTAAATAAGGAAGAAAAACCGCAGTAGGGGAACATGACGTTTTGCTCCTGTCTGGCACACAGCGCCTCGGTGTAGACGTCACTGGCCCCAGTGTATATGTTTTTCTCTCGGGACAAAATAAGGAAGCCAAGAGACATCAGGTCGGGAGGCGGCGATAGGAAAGGCTTGATTGAGGTGGAAGAAATAAATGCCATTCTGCCGGGCAGGGTTGGTGGACATAGAACCTCCAATAGGTGTGGACAAGGAATGCACTACCGTCGCCGACACCCCGAGAACCCACCGAGGCCGCTCTGCGCAGGGAGCGCCGCGGAGAAAGCAGCCGAGGCACAAGGCGGACTGAACCGCGTATCCCGGTGCCTCCCCGCACCGCTCACCTGTGCGCCCTCTGCCCGCCCCTCGGGGCGGAGCGGCGGCACGGTACCCTTCCGGATTGGACGCTCTCGAGACCCTGGGGCGGGCATTAGAGGCCGAAAGCTCTTAGGGATTGGCTATTCCGACGGACGGACGTGCAGCCAAGGGAGCTGATTGGCCGGTGGCTCTGGCTGGGTGGAGGGCGGGTCCCTTTCCGCGCGTTCCCTGCCAGTCATTGGCTCCCCGCGGTTTCCTTGGGGACGTGGCGCCGCCGCCGCCGGCGCAGGCCTCCTTCCGGCCGGGCTGGAGGCCGTGGCATTCGCACGGGACCGAGCGGAGAGGTGCTGAGGAGCCGGCGGACCGCTGGTCCCGTGAGTGTAAGTGCTGAAGGGCGGCGAGGCCGAGAGGGACGGGAACCCCCACCCCGCCAACTGGGGACTGCCGGTTCCTCGGGGGCATCGCTGGCTCTCGAGGATGCCCCACTCCCAGGGAGCCGGGGGCGGGTGCGCTGGGCCCCAGAACCCGAGCGGACGGGTCTGGAATGGGGGCTCGGGAGCGGGTGGGCGCCGTGGCCTCCTGCTGGAGGTCTGGTCTTTGTGGGCGCTGCTGGAGGTAAGCCTGCACCCCAACCAACTCTTTCCAGGCTGCAGGCTCAGGAGATGCCTGGGACAAGGAGACCGCCTTCTCAGGGCAAAAGGAAAAGGAGGTGACAGGCGTCGGGACCACTGAAGGGAGCCCATGGCTAGGTAAGGCGGCTGCTCACTTTCCTCTCAGCTAGGGGCTCGGTGCGGGGTGGCAGGCAGGTTGAGGGGTCCTGGGAGGTTGTTACAAGTGAAGATTGTCCTAGGTCTGCATCTGGACTTTGCATCTGGACACATGGTTGCAAAGATCAAAGTTTCATTCTTTTGAAGGCAGATACAACAATAGTTTGCAGCCCCTAACTCTCAGAGGCTCAGGTTAGTGCTTGCTCAGCTCAGACTGTAATATGCTTTCAGATTTCCATTTGAGTGAGACTAGGTTAAAAAAAAAAAAAAAGATTTTTATTTTGTAATGAACCTTGAAAACAGACTGAGGTCCTTTTGAATCAGTATAGAAAATGAACTTCACAGTTGGATACGCTTGTCCAACCGTTGTAGTAATACTCTGAAGCTTTCAGAAAAGATTAATGTGGATCTATGGATATGGGACGGTTGTCAAACAAAGTGGGGGAAAGATGCAGGACAGCATATAAGGTATAAAAACAAAATGGAGATGCATACACATACCTGGATATGTTACAATGTATATCTGTGCTTGTGTATAATACATAGAATATCCCTAGATACACAGAAACTGGGTAGTAATGGTTGCCTCTGAGAGGGAAATGGTTGGATTAGGGCAAATGACTCACTGTGTGTGTGTGTGTGTGTGTGTGTGTGTGTGTGTGTGTATGTATGTGTGTGTGTATATATATATATTTTTTTTTAATTATTTGATTTTTTTCTATTGTGTACATATATTACCTATTAAAATATTTTTTTAAATCAGTTGAATAAATTTCCTGACCATCCAATTTTTTTGACAGCATTCTTGGTGGGAATGTTGTCGTGCTCTGATTCTTCAATGTTATGAAGTTGCTCAGGGAGACTAGTGATCTTTTCATTAAAATAAGACGAATTCTTTCAATTTCTCCCCAAAGTGCAGACTCGGGGAAAATATCAGATACAGCTTTTCTGACTTATATGGTAGAAGCACCATGAACCATATAGGTCCTTTTCTAAAATGTGAGATTCCAAGAGCATTTAAGTTTCTGGTGGCATGAGTTTTTGCATATTTAGGAAGGGCTTTAATCCAGTATAAAAACTATATTTTAGCACTCAGTTGTAGAGACTTTTCTTACTAATGTTTGTCTCATTTCAGGATCAGTTTTTCCTACCTCTGCCCAGCCTCCTGGTACTTTACTGTGCCCACAGTGAGCCCATTTCCCCGCCAGCGGGTGGCATTCCTAGGACTCTTCTTCATATCCTGTCTCCTTCTCCTTATGTTAATCATGGACTTTCGACGTTGGGGTGCTTCATTGCCACGAGATAGGCAATATGAAAGGTGAGTCAGCTTTAGATCACTTTCATCAGCTTTGCATTGAAGTCATACATGTTTTGATAAGCTGTTTAACACATTACTACCTTTGACCCTTTGGGGGAAAACTGTACTTTTGTTAGTAAAATTTCATGACACTTATTGCATAACAGTCTTGACAATTTTCAGTTTTGATTCAGGAACAATGATGCTGTGTTTTTGTGTTTCCTATTTTCGTGTTTTTGTGGGCTAACTTATTAGTGCATATATGTTTATAATTGTTATGTACTATTAATGAATTGACCCTTTTTATCTTTATTGAATGACTCTCTTTATCCTTGATTATATTCTTTGCTATGAAATCTACTGGTCTCATATTAATATACTTAAACTTAATTAGCATGCCAGGTGGTTTTCCATCCTTTTAATTTTAGCATAGTTCAGTCTTTATATTTAAAGTGGGTTTCTTGCCCTGACCGGTTTGGCTCAGTGGACAGAGCGTCGGCCTGTGGACTGAGGGGTCCCAGGTTCGATTCCGGTCAAGGGCATGTACCTTGGTGGCAGGCACATCCCCAGTAGGGGGTGTGCAGGAGGCAGCTGATCAATGTTTCTTTCTTATTGATGTTTCTAACTCTATCCCTCTCCCTTCCTCTCTGTAAAAAATCAACTTTATATATATTAAAAAGAATCTGCCTTTTTGCCCTTGCCCTTTGAGCTATTGTTGCCATACATTTTACTTCATATAAGTCCCACTTTGTATTGTTTTTATTTTAAATATTCAAGGTGACTCTAATGTGTAGCTGGAGTTGAGAGCCATTGTTCTGAAGTAGTGATTTTCAACTGGTGTGCTGCAAGAATTTTCTTTTTTAAATACTCATCTGTGGATATGTTTTCATTGATTTTTAGAGAGAGAGGTAAGGAGAGGGGGGGAGAGAGAGAGAGAGAGAGAGAAACATTGATCAGTTACCTCCTTTACTCACTCCAACTGGGATCAAACCTGCAACCTGGGTATGTGCCTTGACTGGGAATCAAACTCTTCAGTGCCTGGGACAGTGCTCCAACCGAGCCACACCTACTTGGGTACTGTCAGAATTTTTAAGGGCACTGATCTCTTTTCCCTTAGATTGTTAAAATGAAAAAAAAAAAAATTACAATAGCCAACACAACAATAACTATCTAGCGTGAATGAATCAAAATTATACCTATTTTTGTCACATTAGCAAAAAATATATGAACCAGGTGGTTATGGTTTGATTCCCAGGCAGGGCACATGCCTGTGTTGTAGCTCAATCCCCAATAGGGGGCATACTCATCATTGATGTTTCTATCTCTCTCTCCCTCTCCCCTTCTCTGAAATTAATTTTTAAAAAAATTAAAAACATCTTTAAAATTTTCCTTCCAGAATTTCTTTTTTTTTATGGCAGTAGCTGCTGCTTAAGCACCAGAGACCTCTGGCTGATGATAAAAACATTAAGCAAATAACTAAGAACAGATGGCAACACATATCACTTTAGTTCAATAGCTTATAAAAAAATTTTAAGCTAATGTTTGTGGTTGTGATTTTTTTTTTATTACATATATATAATCTTATTTTTTTCTACTTAAAATGTTCCTAATTTACACAGTGAACTATATTACACAGTGTGTGTGTGTGTGTGTGTGTGTGTGTGTGTGTGTGTGTATGACTAATATACACTTTGCCCTTGCAAGTTTTGTGTCCCCTTGGGAGTTTGACCAGGAGACCAGAAGTTGATTGCTTGCTATGATGTGTGCTGACCACCAAGGGGCGACATGGAATGAAGGAAGGCCCCTGCCAGTAGCTGGAAAGAAGGCCCTGACCAGTAGCCTGAAGGTCCCGATTGGCCAGACCTTGGGATCAGTGCATAAATTTTGTGTACTGGACCTATAGTGTGTGTGTATATATATTGATTGATTTCAGAGAGGAAGGGGGGGAGAGAGAGATGAAACATCAATGATGAGAGAGAATCATTGATTGGTTGCCTCCTTCATGCCCCCTATTGGGGATCAAGCCCGCAAGCCGGACATGTGCCCTTGATTGGAATTGAACCTGGGCTATATCAGTATTTTGTGATATTGCACAAAGAGTGAATAGCAGGTCCTCAAGTAACATTGTTTCATTCAATGTTATGAAAAAAAGAATTGATTCCCGTCTGGGGCCACTGTGTGCAGTTTGCACGTCCTCCCCATTTCTGTGTGGGTTTTCTCTGGGTACTTTGGTTTCCTCCCACATCCTGAAGATGTGCACGTGAGGTGAATTGGATGTCTAAGGAAACTTTAGGAGCCGCGGTCTCCAACTGGTGGTCCGAAAGGTTGGCGACCGCTGGTCTAAACCAGTCTGAGTGAGGGTGGTGTGTGTGACTGTCCCCTCGATGGATGGGCATCCTGTCCAAGTGGGCTCCCGTCTTGTGCCCTAAGCTGCTGGGGGGACTCAAGCCACTGGGGACCCTGAACTGCAATCAGCAGGTTGGAGCATAATTATCTTAGTTGTTTTTATTAATCTTCTTAAAAAAAAAAAAAATATATATATATATAGCTTCCATTTATTTCAATGTTTAATATTAGAAGTGTTTTGGTTCTTTATTTAGAAGTTGGTGATGTTTTGGTGGCCAGAAACATGCAAATAGGAGCTTAACTCTTGTTTATATCAATTAGCCTATGGTAAAACTGGTTTTGCTACATTCAAATTTCCAAGAACCTATCCATGATGTTAAGTGAGGACTTACTCTTCTTACATGGGAGCAAGTTTGGAAAACCTTAATCAAGAAAATAATCCCATAAGAACACTGAATTCATTCTATGATCTTGATAAATGAGGCCTTGCTTTAGTTAGAAATTATAATCTCTGTCATACATTGCATCTTTGTATTTTAACATGTCTGAAAGAAGCTAATGTTTACAATTCTTTATTTTTGTATTGAAAAAAATGTTTTAATTCAAAAAATTTTCAGCTATTCATGGAACTTAACATATCACTTCTGGGTGATAAAATCCCAGAACTTTATAAGCCTGTGTGTGGGTTTCCTCCTCAGTAGTTTTAAAACTGAGGAGTTGCATTTTTCCCCTTTATTATGTACCCACCCACAGTGCCTTTGAAAGGAGAAAGGAGGAGGTTTGCATTAGAACTGGAAGTTAGGGAATGGTAAATTTAGAGACTAATGGGTTATCAGTAGGGATAGAATCCAGAGCTATTTTGTTTGGTTAGTAGATGTTATTTTTTTTAGAGCAGTTTTAGGTTCATAGCTAAATTGAGCCTTCCTCAGGAGTTTCTAATTCTTCTTAAAGCAAGTCGAAAGAGGCATTATTTTTGGTTATAAAAGTATTTATTAACTTTAGGATATTTAGATAAATTGTGTTCTTATGTATAGTAGAGAAATTCAGTGATTAAAGGCACTTATTCACATTTATTTATTTGTTCTCTTGCTTGTCCTTTGCGGTATTTATAAGCAGAGCTTTAACGTATAAATGTTCCTGGCTGCCCTGATTAAATCTTGTTAGGAGATAAAAGTAACCTTACAAGATGCTTTTCTGGACATGTATTACTAACATCAGTCATGCACAGCTACTTTGGCTATAATGTCATTATATTTGGTTCTGAGCCTCGAACAGAATTGAAAAGTATGACACATTCAGCAAAGAGCTGGTTGCCCTATGCTGATGAGGACCTCTTTGATTGATCTTTGGAGCATTACTGAGTTCTATTTGAACTCTAGGAGTGGTGTAATTAGTTTTGATTTTGTAAGCTAGGTATTAGTTTGGTCAGTTAGTGCTATAATGCTGTTAATGTTTTCAGGCTAATGGAAGTGAAAAGCCACTGTCTTCCAATTCTACCTTGGGTGATGTATATGTGGGTAGCAATGACCAGAGGAAAATCTTGTTTCTCAAACGGAGAGAAAATATGTGTGTGAGGGAGAGAGGGGTAAGTGTGGGATGGTCAAGTCGATCTCTGGGAAGGTGGATGTGAGGCATTCCGAGGCTTTTAGAACTTTTCTCTTGGGCTTTGGTTCCCCTTCAGGGATTAACTTAGTGCAGCATCAGCAAAGCAGGAGCGTCCGCCATTGCAAGTAATTGACCATGATGGCTAAGTCCAAGGCTGCAAATCACAAAAAGGACCAGCCAGCCATCCACCCATGTTAGGAGCCTAGCCGGAGGAAGACTTTCATAAGTGTAAGAAGCCTTGTCGATCATAAGATGCCAGAGTTCTATAAAGAGGTGATATTACTTCCCAGAAAGGAAAATTGTTCTTCAGTTACTTATTTGTATTCAAGATGAGAAAAATGGAGGTTTTCTGTTGCCTGAAGCATTGATCAAAAACTCAAATGGGAAGGGTAACCTAAATGCCTCTGGTCCTATCTTTCTTCCTTGTGTTTTAATGTCAGTGGATGTTTTTCTGCATACAAGTTGACTCCTAAGGGAAGAGAAAGAAAAGCTGAATTGCACCCAAATTAGAGCTTAAAGTTGTTTATCTTGACAGAAACCAAAGAGGATGACAGGATGCTTTGGGAAGCCATTGAGACTTTCTAAAAAGGAGACCAATTGATTTTGAGTATAATGATACAGAGACATCAGGAGTTAGTAACAAAGCAGTAACTCTAAATCATGAACTCTAGGATAAGACTAATCAGCAATGATTGATACTTATCAGAGAAATTCAAGAGATACTATGATAATATCAAGGTGCTGCGTATAAGATAACTACTTTTGAGAATGGTTAGCCGAAATGGAGAGGTAGAGCAAAAGTGTGTGGAAGAAGTCTTAGGGGTTCATACTGCAGTATAAGTCCTCAAGGGAAATGCTGACACTCCATGTTTTACTGCAGAAGATGCAGGCCTTTTCAGATCATGTGGCTACTACAAGCATCGGCCACTGTGGAATGGAGGCTTCTTAGGAACCGTGGAGCTTCTGTCAAGAAGAGAAAGGGGAATGAACGAGTAGAGAAGCAGGTGGATGTTAAGAAAGAAAAAAAGAGGTCATATTAGAGCATTGGTGTTCAAAGTGTTTACTAACTCTTTGAAGTCTCTGAGACAAAATTATGCATGGGTAAAAGTCACTCAGAGTGCTAGACAACCAATGAATTTTAATGTTATGGAGTAAGGAACTTTTTGAATCCTCGTTGCAGTTAACATAATGGTCGGTTACAAAATAGCAGCCAGAAGCAACAAGGGCTGCTATGGTGGGAAATGAATTATTTTTCCTATTTTCTATCTGTGGTATCTTTCAAGGTTAATATTTGCAAGAGTTCTGTAATAAACCCAGACCTCTGCCAGCTTTCATGTGATAGATGTGAGCTGTTCCGAGTTTATTGGTAGATTGTGAGCCCAGTTCAGCCCAGTAATTTGATTAGCATGGGAAAGAATGTGGTGAAATGGAAATCTTTAGGACTATGGACTTTTAGTGTGTAACAGATTTTTACCACCTGTTCATTTCCCACAACTTGCTTTTATATCAAATCCAGAAATAAGTTCTACCTGACCCTCTACTATGCAATGATTTACAGCATTATATTGAAGCTTAACTGTATCTTCTTCTCTCTCTTTTTTTGTTAATCCTCTCCCGAGGATATTTTTCCATTGATTTTTAGGGAGAGTGGTAGAAAGAGAGGGAAAGACAGAGAGAAATATTGATGTGAGATTAGTTGCCTCCTGCCCAAGCCCGACCAGGGGCCTATGCTACATATTTTATGAACATTCTTTTTGTAGCTACAAAACTTTTAAGAGATTGTAGAAAAGAACAATTATTATTTTTATGAAATACATTTTTTATTCATGTAATTGTAGCAATTTATTTATTTTTTAATTGTAGCAATTTAAAATGCAAAGCAAAAAGTCCCATAAAAAAATACTACCACCATGCCTTGGCTAGTATAACTCAGTTGATTGGGCATTGTCCCAGGCATCAAAAATTTTCTGGTTCAATTCTCGATCAGGGCACATTCCTGGATTGTAAAGTGGAATCCCCAGAACTGGGTGTGCAGGAGGCAGCCAGTTGATGTTTTGCTCTCACATTGATGTTTCTCTTTCTCTCTCTCTCTCTCTCTCTCTCTCTCTCTCTCTCTCTCTTCTTCTCTCTCTAAAAGTAAATAAAAATAAAAATCAGAAAACACATGTCATGTCAAGTGATACATCATTCCATAGTGTTTTTGTGTTTATATACAGAAAGGATAGACAGATAGAAAAGAAGTTATTAAAATTATTTTAGTTATTTTGTGTGTATACAAGCCAGTACAGAATTTAGTGGCTTATAACAGCAAAAACCAGATATTTACCTGGGCCTGGAAGCTCTTTAATGCTTTGTAGAGCTTGCTGCAGTCAGTTCAGAACTGCCCCCAAATATGGAGGAGTCTTTTAGTTATCTAACTTCATTGGTCTCTAGGCAAACAGACCAGCAGTTGCCGAGTATACACCAGGACATATGGTCAGTATTGCTTTACTCCTTTGTTAGGACTCATAGTCCCAAGTACCTGGCACATGTAGACATTTGATGAAGATTTATGAACAATGAATTAAATGGTGGTGCCTTTTGTGGACCTGGCTTCTTCACACTGAGCTTTCTTTTTTGCCCGGCTTAGATATTTGGCTCGAGTAGGGGATCTTGAAGCTACTGACACTGAAGACTCAAATCTAAACTATGGACTTGTTGTGGACTGTGGCAGCAGTGGCTCCCGGATTTTTGTTTATTTTTGGCCAAGACATAATGGGAACCCCCATGATTTGCTGGACATCAAACAGATGAGAGACCGCAACAGCCAACCAGTGGTTAAAAAAATCAAGCCAGGTACTAACCGGAATATATTGGTTGTCAATCTCTTCTATCTGTCACAGGCTTGGGAGAAGAGAGAAGAGATATCCTTTTCTCTTGGGATTCTAGATAGTGGGAGGTATATCTCATTCATTGCCTCCCTCCTTCAAATAAATAAAAGTCTAGGACCTTAAGCAGAACCTTGTGGGGAATCAGTTTCTGTGTGCTTCTGAGTGCATGTGATCTGCTTTTTAAAGAAAGTATTTTGTATTTCTGAAGGGATCTCTACAATGGCAGACACTCCTGAACATGCCAGTGATTACCTTCGTCCTCTGCTGAGCTTTGCTGCTGCTCACGTGCCTGTGAAGAAGCACAAGGAGACCCCCCTCTACATTCTGTGCACCGCAGGCATGAGGCTTCTTCCTGAGAGGTGAGATGCAGGGGCTGAGAAACATGGGAAACGGGTGGCAGAAGAGAGGAAAGGCTGATTCCAGGCCTGTCCCCTGTGGTTTCCTGGTCTGAAGGTGGGATGTGGATTCACCATAGAGTTGACAGGTCATTAAAAGACTCCTTGCTCAAAAATAGGGCAGATCTACCCATGCACGCAATTATTTCACAGTAAGTTGTTCACACCTTCATATCACTTGCTTCTTTGGGATACATATCTATCTGAGATGACTGTAATGATTGTTAGTTTTGATTGAGGGTTTGAAGCAGTGGTGATGGTGTTAAATTTGGATCCTAAGGCACCCAGAAAGGGAGCATAATAACAGAACAGTAGTAGGAAGGTCTCCTGAGGTACCGGGTACCTGGGGGCTGGTAGGACGGCTCAGGTAGGAATGCTGCTTTATCTGTAACTTAGCCTGGCTCCTTGGTGATAGTTGGTGCTTCATGCAAAGCTCAGGCTTCATTGCTACACCAGTCTTTTCAAGCCCAGCCAGACAAGTCTTTTCCACTTGACCTTGGCAGTTGGGCCTGGCATCTTGCTATGTGGTCCCTCTTCCCTCACTGGAAGAGGAGGAGGGAGAGGAAGAGGCAGTGGCTATACTTACACCAGATCCCTCTTTGTGATGTCTCCCCTTTGACCACCTCCCGGGCCCCTAAACAGATACATGATCATGGGATGGGAGTGAGCTCCCATAACTTAAGAATTTATCCTTCTGAATGTTCATCCTCTCACAGGCCTCAGGCATTTTTTTCTTGGTAAATAGCAGTTCCCCTTTTCACAGTTTCATTTTGTATACTTGGCCAACAATAAAGTATTAGCTATACATTTAAGGCTGCATGCTGCTTATGCCCGACATGCCAGACCATATAACATATGTCACAGCTTCTTTCAGTGGACTATTTCCTTCTGTTGAGACATGCAGCTACTGGTTTACTATCTGGTTTGCTGTTGAGAAGCAGATAATTTTATACAGCCATTCATTAACTTGAGAAGCCTTCTAACTCCTTATTTCCCATATATCATGGTCTTTAAAATTTTTTTTTTAACTTATTTTTAAAACCAAAGTTTAAGTATTATGCCTGCAATCATACATCATTAAAGGAAATTCTAAAAGTGAAAAACAAAAACAAAAAACAAACAAACAACACTTACAATCCTATTACTCTTATCAAACTGTTTTATTTTGTCACATTTCCTTTCTGTATGTAATTTCTACAAAGTTGCAATCATACTGTGCATGTAATTTAGAATTTTTGTTTTTGATGTAAGTAATATTTACATTGTTCAAACGTTTAGAAACCTAGGGAAAAGTGTAGATCAGCGGTTGCCAACCTTTCGGACCTCACAGACCACCAGTTGCCCGTGGACCACTGGTTGGTGACCGCTGGTATAGATAACACCGTAGTGCCACATCACAAATCTGTGAATAGCCTTATTCATTTCTCACGCGAAGGAGGTGGTAGGAGGGCCAGAGGAAAAACTGACTTGGAAGTAAAACATTAGTCAACCAGCAGGGTATGGTTTGGCCACATTTTGTGTGTCTGGAGCAAAGGAGAGGGATGCCTCATCTCCTGGCACTTTGTCAAAAAAAATTCTGTCCAAACAAAACCCACTGTGTTGTTCTGCCTCATTTGTCTAAATGTTAACTGTCAGCGTGGAAGCTCTGAACATTAATATCTATTGTATCTTATGAATTTTTAAAGAACTTGCCTTTTCTTTTAACTTATTTTCCTGATCACCTCTTTTTTTTAATTTTTAAAATATATTTTATTGATTTTTTACAGAGAGGAAGGGAGAGAGATAGAGAGTTAGAAACATCCATGAGAGAGAAACATCGATCAGCTGCCTCCTGCACAGCCCCCACTGGGGATGTGCCCGCAACCAATGTACATGCCCTTCAACGGAATCGAACCTTTGGGACCTTTCAGTTGCAGACTGACGCTCTATCCACTGAGTCAAACCAGTTTTGGCAGATCACCTCTTTTAATAATGCCTAACTGTATTCTGGGCTTATGAAATCACTAGAGGCCCAATGCATGAAGGCAATAGGCCTTCCTTCCCCTGGCTGCCGACCCGGGCCTTCACTCTGGGCGCCGCCTTCCACCTTTGCGCATTGCCCAGAGGCCCAGATTGGCTGGGGCAGAGTGGAAAGCCTGGGTTCCGGCCCAGCTGCCGCCATCTTTGTTGTGTCAATTTGCATATTCCTCCTTATTGGCTGTGGGCACTATCATTTTGTCTTGAAGTGATAGTCAATTTGCATATTCCATCTTTATTAGATAGGATTGTTACCTCTAAGGCAACGGTAGCAATTGACATAAGTGTAACTATCACTGCAAAAATCCGTTTTGTATAAACTACATGGTACTAATTTGTTAGCATTTGTAAGCTGTATTCAAATGGATTTAAATCAGCTAGACTGTATTTTTAATTTATTGGCACTAGGTTTTATTTCTTTGACAAAGGCCTGGATTAGTAGACTATTTCACCACCCTTTTATTTTGTAATGAAAAACCTTTTAAAATTACAAAGATAATACAAGGTGATATTTAGGTGGGGGGAGGGGAAAACTTTTTAATATGGGAAATTTCAAGCATATAAATGTAGAGAGAACAGTGTAATGAATCCCCATTTATCCGGCTTTAACAGTTACATTTAGCCATTAAACTTTTTTTTAAAAACAAACTTAGAAAATGAAAGTTAGTGTTTTGTTTTTAATATAAATTGGAATCATAGAATATGGTGTTTTGTAACCTAGTACAACTCAAAATATATTGGAAAAATTTTCATGTCAAAACATGTAAGTATAAATTGACCTCATTTCTTTTAAAATCTATAGTTTACATTGTGTGGATGTACTGTAAATTATTTAACCAATTCCTATTGTTGTAATTTAGACTACTTCCGATTTTTCATTATTATAAATAATGCTGCAGTATTCTTCCTCTTTGTATTTTTATTTGATGATGTCCTTGCAGTAAATTTCCAAAAGTGCAATAGGTGGGTCAAAGATTAAGGGCATTAAAATTTTTAATAACTAGTTCAGGATTTCCCAATGGAAAGGTTGTACCAGTAATTTACATTCCAAAAAGCAGTGTATGTTGGTGCCCCTTCTTCCATATGATGGCTAAAACAAGCAAGCCCTCTTCTTCAGGTGGTTAAGAAGCATATGCAACAAGGAGAGTGAAATGGCTCCTCCTGTTCCTTATGTGAAATCCATGTTGCATGAGTTTTGTGTGTTTAACAATGAGGGTGTTTTTTTTTTTTTTAGAAACTATACTTGACATTATATTAAAAGATTACTAAATTAAATTCTTTGCTTTGAAGTGCTAACAATGTACTTCGCTAAGTCATGCTGACAACTATCTGAGTCAATAGAATATTTTTGTAATGGGTAATTTTAAAAATACAAAATAATCGGTCTTATTTTTAACCAACATTTTCCTCTAGATTCTTATTATTACATCCAGCTTTGTTTCTTTGCTCTTTGTCTGATAACATGATAATATAACACTGTAGAGGAAAACAAAACCCTATGGATACTAGACTTCACATGTTAATCCCAAATTGTTATAATCTTTGGATTTTGATCCTGATTTTGAATTCTTAAGTGATAAAGAAAAATAATTCAACCATGAAATACAAAAAAGGAGATTAAAAAGTTTATTGTAAGCTTATGTAAAGAATTATGTAAAAACCTGTGGACTGACAGTGCTTCTTATGTGGAGAAGTGAGGCATTGTTCCTGAGATTGTGCTCCGCCATGTAGCAGTTTTCTTTCATAGTAATTAGGAGTAATGTAATTATAGGTATTTTGTAGATTGCAAAACTGTACTTCAACTATGCAGCTTGTGAGAGGCACAGAACTATAGTCTCATCTTAACTCTGACTTGTAACATTATATAAAGAAAATGTATTATTAATGCCTTTTAAGTTGGAGGCTATATTTTGGAGGCAGTTTAAACCATTGGAATCAAAGGAGTTTCCAAAGAAAAGCAGGCCTGACAAGGGATGGAGTAGGTGAATAGTGAGGTCATAACAAGGCTGAGAGGAAGGTCAAGTTGAGGCTGTTTATGAGAAGAGAATTTAACAATTACTTTTTGGACTTTTTGTTCTCTCTTACAGGAAGCAGTTGGCTATCTTGGCTGACCTAGTGAAAGATTTACCACTGGAGTTTGACTTCCTCTTTTCACGGTCTCAGGCAGAAGTGATCTCTGGGAAGCAAGAAGGTATTGAGCTTTGAGGGGCACGATGGTTCACCTCCCAGCCAGCCATGACCTAATCTCTCTAAAGGGTGTTTAGGATTATTTTATATATCTGATTTTTATTTTTCTGACAAAAATTTTCTTGATTATGCTATCTAGTTTATTTGTATACTGTGTGCTTTAGAATGCTGCCCTCTAGAAGTCATAAATTTGTATTTGTTTTTAACTTTGCTCTAAGGACTATGTTTATAAGAATGTATTAGTATTTAATGGTGATTCCAAATGGATCTTTGGTTACCTATTAGTAGTTTTGAAAACCTACATACATCTGGAGGTATGTAGGTTTTCAAAAATCTCTATATATAAAAGCCTAAGTAACCATTACTACTGGTTGCTATGACATGCACTGACCACCAGGGGGAAGACACTCAACACACGAGCTATCCCTTGGTGGTCAGTGTGCTCCCATAGCCAACCTTCCAAGGTCCCTCCCCTCAACTGACTGGTCCCAATCAGCCCCCATTGGGACTGGGTGAGATGGCCTCAGTTGGCTCTAGTTACTGGCCAGGCCAGGGGGCCCGCCTGTGCACGAATTTGTGCACTGGGCCTTTAGTTCAAATATAAAGCAAATTATGAGTTTAAAGGTAAGGGAAAACTTAATCTCAGGCACTGATCAAGATGAGTTACTTTTTTGTTATAGGCTCTCTCTTTTTTACACTTACAATGCAGTATAGATGCTTTCCTAAAAACCCCCACTATTGGCTTTGTAGTTTTGAGTGCAGTTGCATGTGTGTTCTCATTATGTCTTACATGATGAATTACAAGTCATTTCTTGGAAAAGACTTCTAGTTGCACTCTATATAAGGAAAAAGATTTACCATTTTCAATTTCAACATTGCATTTTTCAGCCCTAACATTTTCATTTGGCTCTTTTTATATTCTATTTCTTTGTTGAGACTTTCTGTCTTTCCATTAACTATAAGACTGATTCTATTTCTTCGTTATGTAGCTGTTTTAAGATCTCTGTCATATCAGGATTGGCATCTTTTGACCATCTTTTCCCTTATTGAGTTAAGTTTTCCTAGTTCTTTGTATGCCAAGTAATTTCACATTGTATCCAGGACATTTTGAATATTACATTATGAGACTCTGGGTTTTGTTTCACTCATAAGAAGAATATTGATGTTGGTTTGTTTGAGCAGTTTAGCTAACTTGGTTCTTGCCTCAAGCTCTCTGACCTGCCTTCTGTGGGCTGTGATTCTCTTGATTCATTTTCAAAGCCATGGCACTGTTATTGAATTTGTCCCATGCGAGTGCCAGGCCATTGGCCAATCTGGAACCTGGGCGTAGCTCATACACATTGGTTGTCTAGCTCCTACCTCAGTTCTCAATTCCTTTGATATATTGTTTAGAGTCAAATCCATGCATGTGTAGCTTGGAGGTGAGCCCAGGAGTTCACACACCACTTTATTTCTTCTCTCCATGATCTCCCAACATTTTCTGGTTCCCCAGGACTCACTATCATGGTCCTCACTATCATGATAAAGGCTGGAGATTTAACTTGTCCATTCTGCCATGCATTCCTATGATGTGTCTGCATGCAGGGCCAAGTGGTGGAGGACAGAGGGGAGGAAATAAGCTATAGGGATTTGCTGCAACTCTTAAGGCTATAGTTCCTTTGATCAAAGAGAAGGACTCACATCCTTCAGAGTTTTAGGAACCTGCTCCACATTCACTTCTGCTGCCGAAGGATTGCCTGGTGGGAGAGAACAAAATTAAGGAAAAAAAGCAAAGGATTTCCCCACTCTCCCTAAACCTTTGGATTCCCCTCTTCTGCTCCTCAGAACAGAAAGCAAGGACTTAACGTTCTTTCTGTCCACTCTGGTGTGTAGTTGGTGTTTCAGTCAAGCTGCCTTTGAGTCCAGGCCAGGCAATGTAAGAGAAAAAAATGGGACACTCATGACTGGCTTGCTGCTGCTTTAAATTATGATCTCTGTTCCAGTGTGTCTACTGGCATTTCTTTCAGACTTCTCAGAAAGCTGCCCCGACATTCTCTCCAGAGTTTATATTTGTATTCAGTGGGGAAGCTGGTGGAATGTGCTTACTCTATCTTGTCCAGAACCAGAATTCCCAAGATTTACTTTGTTTAATGTATGTTTCTACACAATAATTCCTATTCATTGTAGGAAATTGAGAAAATGCAAATAGTGTTAAAAAGGAAAGACATCACAAGATAAAAGATTTTATTTAATTAATTAATTTATTTTTTATTTAAGGTGAGGATTTGTTTCTTTTCTTTTCTTTTTTTTTTTTTTTTTTAACATATTTTATTGATTTTTTTACAGAGAGGAAGAGAGAGGGATAGAGAGTTAGAAACATCGATGAGAGAGAATCATCGATCAGCTGCCTCTTGTGCATCCCCTACTGGGGATGTGCGCGCAACCAAAGTACATGCCCTTGACCGGAATCGAACCCGGGACCTTTCAGTCCGCAGGCTGACGCTCTATCCACTGAGCCAAACCGGTTTCGGCAAAGATAAAAGATTTTAAATTTATACACTGAGAGTGTAGAGTAAAATACTACTAGCACTTTTTTCCCAAAAAAAGGAGAATAGAGCAGCTCTGAGAGAGAGAGGTGCATGCATGCTGTAGCAGCAGAGAACTAAGCAAAGTCTTTTCTGTTTCTCTCATAGGGGTTTATGCATGGATTGGAATCAACTTTGTTTTGGGAAGATTCGACCATGTGGATGGTGAGTAATGTTTTCTTATGAAGTTCTTCAAGTAGGGCTGAAGGTTTAATTCATACTCTGTCAGTAGCATATAAGCACTAATGTTGAGTTGTTTTTCTTTTTTTTAAAACTTAAGTTGCAAAACAAATATGCAAACCTCCCCCAAAAACTTAAACTGCTTCATTTTCCAGCCTAATTTGCTTTCTTTTATTTCTTTTAACCTTTTAATGTGGAAAGTTTCAAACTATCACAAAAGTAGAACCTTGCCATGGCCAGTTTAGCATAGTGGATAGAGCATCGACCTGTGGACTGAAAGGTCCCAGGTTTGATTCCGGTCAAGGGCATGTACCTTGGTTGCGGGCACAACCCCAGTGGGAGGTGTACAGGAGGCAGCTCATCAGTGTTTCTCTCTCATGGATGTTTCTAACTCTCTATCCCTCTCCCTCTCTGTAAATAATCAATAAAATATATATTTTTTAAATTTTATATATATAGCCGAAGCCGGTTTGGCTCAGTGGTAGAGCGTCGGCCTGCGGACTGAAAGGTCCTGGGTTCGATTCCGGTCAAGGGCATGTGCCTTGGTTGCGGGCACATCCCCGGTGTGGGGTATGCAGGGGGCAGCTGGTCGATGTTTCTCTCTCATCGACTTTTCTGGTCTTTATCTCTCTCCCTTCCTCTCTGTACAAAATCAATAAAATATATTAAAAAAATAAATAAATAAAATGTGGTTGCTGTGACTCATGAACTGAATTGTTCACTTTAAAAAAATTTTATATATATATATATGTGTGTGTGTGTGTGTGTGTGTGTGGTGTGTGTGTGTGTAAGTGTGCGCGCGCGCGCGGGCGTGCGCGCTCACGTGTGCTTTTCCCCCCTTTTTGACTTAATTTTGGTTTTAAATTATTAAACCCCTTCTCTTCCCTTGTTTATTTTAGAATCAGATGCTGAAGCTCCCCAGGAATTGACAGCAGGACGCAGAAGGACAGTAGGAATACTGGATATGGGGGGAGCCTCTCTCCAAATAGCTTATGAAGTTCCTACCTCAACCTCAGTCCTTTCTCCAAAAGAGGTATTTTACCTTTTAGGGAAAGTCACTGGGAATGTCAGTATTTAAAAAAAGAAGAAGACTCTCTTTGGGTTTAAACCAACTTGCCTGGGTACAAATAGTTGTTCAGAGACTTGCGAGCTTGTGTTCTTTCTCTGAGCCTTAGTTTTCTAATATGTAGGAAGGGAACAATAGTATCTACTTCATAAAGTTGTGAGGATGAAATACATCCACGAGTGTAAAGCACTAAGCAGACTGCCAGCCATATAATAAATGTTTAATTCCTTTTTTCTCTTTTCATTGTGTTACAGGAAGAGGCTGCGAAGATCTTGCTGGCGGAATTCAACCTGGGCTGTGATGTGCATCACACTGAGCATGTGTATAGGGTTTACGTCACCACCTTTTTGGGTTTCGGGGGCAACTTTGCCCGACAGCGCTACGAAGACCTGGTGCTGAATGAAACTCTTAGCAAAAACAGGTACGTTTGGCATGGGAACTGTGCTTCTGAAATAGAATGTTGTCAGATTGCAGATATTAGGAATATTCATTTCCTACTTAGGTATGTCCTTGCTTTCTTCTTCCTGACCAGCCTTGCATCTCTTAGAGACCTTCCAGTAGTTGATGTGGGTGAGGGTGTGTTCTTTTTTTTTTTTTTTTTTTTTAACATATTTTATTGATTTTGTACAGAGAGGAAGGGAGAGAGATAGAGAATTAGAAACATCGATGAGAGAGAGTCATCGATCAGCTGCCTCATGCACACCCCCTACTAGGGATATGCCTGCAACCAAGGTACATGCCCTTGATCGGAATCGAACCGAGACCCTTCTGTCCCCAAGCCGACGCTCTATCCATTGAACCAAACCAGTTTCGGCTGAGGATGAATTCTAATGTTTGTTAATAGGATTCATAAAAAAGTACAACAGCTTATTGCGGTAACATCTTGCTGTGTCTCACTTTAGACATTGTGGGATTGAGATTAAGATGTTAATTTTAAATGTGCAGTATACTATGGATTCTAGCAGTTCCTTCTACATGGAAATGCTCAAGACATGTTTGTTGAATTAGTGTAGTTGCATGTTCAGGAGTTAGGTTCTACAGTGCGCTTAAAAGATAAAAAGCACGTGTGTCAAATAATTTAACCTTTAAGTTATTCTCTTATTATTTCCAAAATGGCAGTTTTTCCTTCGGCATGGACCAGATCACTGATTTTTTTTTTTTTAATTTAAGTACCAGATAAAGTAGTTAGTCCATAATGTACAAACAATTGTGGGTTTCTTTAGCATTTAAAATTATTTTATAGTCCTAGCCATTTTGGCTCAGTGGATAGAGCATCAGCCTGCGGACCAGCCTAGGTTTGATTCCGGTCATGGGCACATATCTTGGTTGCAGGCTCCTTCCTGGCACAGGCCTGGTCAGGGCTCATTCAGGAGGCAACCAACCAATGTGTTTCTCTCATATCAATGTTTCTGTCTTTCCTTCTCTCTTCCACTCTCCCTAAAAATCAATGGCAAAATATCCTCAGGTGAGGATTAACAACAACAAAAATAATAAATAAATAAAACATTTAAAATTATTTTACCATTCTGCACATTGAAGGAAAGCATAATAGATGACAATTCACCATACAATTATTTACCCGCATTGGTTTAGCTAGAAACACTAGTTTGAAAAGGAATTGATATATGGTATATGTTAGTTTATACAGTTCTAAATTATGTTGGGAGCATGTTAAAAAATATTGTCTCGTAAATTTTTAAAGTTTTTATAAGTAAGAGTTCAAGAAACTATGGGAGAATCCTGTTATCCTGGATAATTGATAAATGCATTGAAATAAAGCAGTGTGTTTGTATTCTGAAAATACTCTTAAATCCATATAGATGTTACTTGGGTTATGGAGCTCAGGTCATTCCTGTTGACATTTGAACAATTATTATGAAAGTTTCACACCAATTTTGCTTTGTTCCTTCTTCATTAGTCACTGTTCTTCCTTTTCCATTTTCTTCCTTTGTTGTTCTGCTGCTCTTTTTTTTTTTTTAATATATTTTATTGATATTTTTCAGAGAGGAAGGGAGAGAAATAGAGAGCTAGAAACATCGATGAGAGAGAGACATCGACCAGCTGCCTCCTGCACACCCCCCACCGGGGATGTGCCCGCAACCAGTGTACATGCCCCCGACCAGAATCGAATCTGGGACCCTTTAGTCCGCAGACCGACGCTCTACCACTGAGCCAAACCGGTTTCAGCTCTGCTGCTCTTTTTTTTTTTTCTTCTTTTTTTTTCCTTTTTTCTGCGTCTGCTGTTTTCTACCTCAGACTTAGCCAGGCTGCATCGTCTTCCCACACATTGGCATTTTCTTGCCATGTATTTAAGTCATCTAATTCAGAAAATTATTATCTTGTGTAGCTGCTAATCTACCAGAGAAACCTGTGCTTCATGAGATGTCAAAACTTCCTAGTTCTATCTTCTTAAAACTATTTTCTAAGTTTTCCTTATAGTTAGTTTCACATCCTTAAACTAGGTTCCAGTTGCCCAAGCATTTTGTTATATTGCCACATTCCCATTCTCTTTTTTAGTCTTTATACTTGTGTGTGCTTCCTCACATCAAGAAGTCCACTCTTCAGTGTCTCTCTGTTTAGGAACTGATGCATTGTTAACCACAGTTGGCAGTTACTTGGTCTCCACTTAATTTTCATCCCTGTCAAGATCTACATTTAAAAAAATATATTTTTTATTGATTTCAAAGGAGGAAGGAGAGGGAGAGAGAGAGAAACATCAATGAGAGAGAATCATTGATCAGCTGCCTCCTGTACGCCCTCTACTGGGGAAGGAGCCCACGACCTAGGCATGTGCCCTGATGGGAATAGAACCATGACTTCCTGGTTCATGCTCAACCACTGATCCATATTAACCTATTAATCTCTTCAGAAATGAGAATACTGTCGCTCTTGGCAAATATAGACTTTATCCAGAACTGTGTGATGGCCCTTCCTTATCCAGTCACAGCCAGGCATGTGTACCTCACTATTGCCAGCCATTTTAAAAAAAATTCTCACCTGAAAATACGTTTTTCATTGATTTTAGAAAGAGGAAAGGAGAGAGAAACATTGATGCAAGAGCAACATCAATTGGCTGCCTCCTGTACACGTCCCTTCAGAGTATTGGACGATGCTCCAACCAACAGAGCCACTCTGGCCAGGGCACTGTTGCTAGCCTTTGACACTGCACCACTGCCGTGGTCCTCTCCTGAGGAAACTCCCCAGTCCCTCCCATTTCCAGTAGTTATTTTAAACATTAGAACCACACTGAGCAAGGTGAGATCTTTGCATTTTTAAGAGGCAAATGTGAATGAAGACCAGATGGAGAATAGCAGATTCACATCTTCAGTTTTGCTTTACACTGGGAAATATACGTTTACTAAAAGGTTGAACAAAATTGATCACTGCCATATTTTTCTCTTTTTCCTTTTTTTTTTTTTTTGCTAAAATGAATTTACTTAAATATTCATGTGACTCAACTACTTGGTAATACTCCATTTTCATTTCTGGGAGGTCATACAAAAGAACAACAAGGTATCCATGAAGCACATTATTTTTATTTTATTTATTTATTTATTTTTACAGAGAGGAAGAGAGAGGGATAGAGAGTTAGAAACATCGAGGAGAGAGAATCATCGATCAGCTGCCTCTTGCACACCCCTACTGGGGATGTGCCTGCAACCAAGGTACATGCCCTTGACCGAAATTGAACCTGGGACCTTTCAGGCCGACGTTCTATCCACTGAGCCAAACTGGTTTCGGCCATGAAGCACATTCTTAAGCCAGGTTCCTTCAACTAGACGTTTCTTAGAGTAGACTGAGTACAGTAGTGATGTGTTTTGTTCTTGTCACTGCAATAGGTTGTTGGGCCAGAAGACAGGTCTGAGTCCTGACAGTCCATTTCTGGATCCTTGCCTGCCCGTGGGACTCACCGATGTGGTGGAGAGGAACAGCCAGGTGCTGCATGTCCGAGGAAAAGGAGACTGGTCCACTTGTGGGGCAATGCTGAGCCCCCTGCTGGCTCGCTCTAACACCAGCCAGGCCTCCCTGAATGGCATCTACCAATCACCTATTGACTTCAACAACAGCGAGTTCTACGGTTTCTCTGAGTTCTTTTACTGCACGGAGGATGTGTTGCGCATCGGTGGCCGCTACCACGGGCCAACATTTGCCAAGGCTGCTCAGGTAATTTATTAAGAAGAGAGATGACTCATGCCACCAGTGGCTATTTATTGGAAGCCTAATTTTGCTCCAGGTGCTGTGCAAAGAGCTTTGCATGCCTGGTTTCACTTGACTCTTACAGGAACTCTCATTTTCAGATGAGGAAGTATAGTATTTAGAAGAATTAAGGAATTTGCCATGCTATACTACCTTCAATTAATTAAGCTTAGCTTCCCAGAGTGTCCTCTCAGCCAGAGTATCACCCAGCTCCAAAACTGTTGTGGAGGCTAATAGTTTTCCTTTAACTCACCAATGGTCTCGTTTAATGTTTGTGGCCAAGTAGTGTCATCTTTAGATGTTTTTCCCTATTGGGTGTTTCCAGGTGTAATGTGCTTTTGGAGATGATGTCACTCAAGGGGACAAGTCCATTTTCACTTTCTTGGTTTGAGCTATTTAAAAGTTGAAGTGGTTTACGGTCACTGAGAATATTAGAAAGATGTGAAAATGTACAATGATGGGGGAAGCATTCTTTAAATTTAAATTCACTTGGAGCATATGTAAGATTCAAGCATGCTGTAGGCTTAAATCATTAGCTACCTGGACAGATGGAAGTTCAACTAACTTTCTGTAGTTCCTGCTTTAATTTAGACTCATCACTTTGAATTTTTGTGTACAGTTCTCTGATCTCTGTTTTATCAGAGAAATTTATGGGAAGAATCTGTTCTCTCTTATATTTCTTATCGTTTCCTTCCTGTTTTCTTACAATTCTCTAGGGTTCTCTTGGTGGGAGACTTCCAATGGAAGAATATTTGTAGTATGTGTACTGTTCTGTTCCCTAAAGGCAGTCCTTACGAAATATTGAGGAAAACCTGGTTTGAGTTTGCTTTGTCCCCTCCAGTCTCTAGGATTACCCTCATATTCCTTTTCCTTTCTCAGCGTTCAAGGGCTCCCTAACTGTCCATAGCCTGAATCTTTCTCTCATTTTAAAATTTTTTTCTCTCGACTACTGTTTGCCCAAGTTGTTAGTGGCTTAGTATGTTCTCTTTCCCAGGTAAAAGAGATGATTTTATTTTTATTCCTTTATATTCTTTTTCACTTTGACTCTTATTTTATCTTCCCAATAATACCTTCCCTGGCACCACAGCCAAAATTGCAGCCCTCCCCAATATTACCTATTTCCTTTTCCTGCTTTATTTTTCCTGTGAGCATTTATGTCATTTAACACATTCTGTACGTGTATGTATGTATATTTAGTTACTAGAGGCCTGGTGCGTGAAATTCTTGCCTGCACTCTCTCCCAATGTGGGATTGCTGGCTCCTAACTGCTCGCCTGCCTGCCTGATTGCCTCCAACCACTGCCTGCCTGCCTTATTACTCCTAACCATTCACCTGCCTGATCACCCCTAACTGCTTGCCTGATTGCCCCTAACCCCTCTGCCTGCCTACCTGATCGCTCCTAACCACTTTGCCTGCCTGCTTCATTGCACCCAACCACTCTGCCTGCCTGTTTCATTGTACCCAACCACTCTGCCTGCCTGCTTGATTTCCCCTAACCACTTGCCTGCCTGCCTGCCTGATCTTTCTTAACTGCTCTCCTGCCTGATTGCCCCTACCCGCTTCTGCCTCAGCCCCGCCACTGGGGCTTCATTCAGAAGAAAGTCCGGAATGATATCTGTCTGGCCTAATTAGCATATTATGCTTTTATTATTTTAGATTGTCTGTCTACCACCACTAGAATGTAAGCTTCTGAGAAATGAAGACATTCAACAGAAATTTTGTCTGTTGTATTTACTGCAAATCCCCTGATACCTAGAATAGCACTTGGCACACAGTGGACATTCAGGAAATGTTAGTTTACTGAACAAAGCAAAAGGAATGATTCCTTTGGTATCGCATGTAGGCAGTGCTAGGTGTTTGATGATTCTGTTTCATCTGCTTTACCTGCTTGTGTCAGTCCTTTGTAGAGTAGAATGACGCTCTCTTCAAGTTCTGCTGTTGATATTTCTGGTCCTAACCTTACCCCTCTCTGAGGCCTACAAGGCTTAGGAGTCATGTCAAGATGGCTTTGTACTGGACTTGGAGGTGCTAGGGATAAAAAGGAGTATTTCTAGCCCAAGACCTGGGACTTGTATTGCACAGGAACTAGCACAGTGTTCAGTGAATGAAAATGCCATTTATGATTTCCTTTGTCAACTAGTAGCCCACAAGCCACTTTAGAAATGGAACAGCTTGACTGTGGGGAACGTTTATAGAGTTTGCCTCCAAATTCATGTTGCACAATTTCTCTGTGGTCATTCCAGGACTACTGTGGAATGGCTTGGTCAGTACTAACTCAGAGATTCAAGAATGGCCTTTATTCATCCCATGCAGATGAGCATCGACTCAAGTAAGTAATTTCCTTTTCTCCCTTAGATGTGGCTTTAAAATGTAGATAAAGTGTAATGAAGGAGAGCGAGTGAGCAATACTAGATTGGATTTTATGTTGAAGGAGAATTTGAATATATCAGATTTTTAAAAATATATATTTTTATTGATTTCAGAGAGGAAGGAAGAGGAAGAGAGAAAGAGAAACATCAATGATGAGAGAGAATCATTGATCTGTTGCCTCCTGAAGGCCCCCCACTGGGGGTGGAGCCCACAACCTGGGCATGTGCCCCTGACTAGAATTGAACCTGGGACCCCCAAGTTCATAGGCCAACACTCCATCCCTGAGCCAAACCAGCCAGGGCGAATATATCAGATTTTTATTTTCTGAGTGAGAAGGGCCAATTAATGAGCCTATTTTAGCAATGCCAAGGGAAACCAATGGTTACTAGAGTTCACCAAGTGGTTTGAAATAAAAAGTGATGGCCTTTAAAAAAACAACTTTTATTAAATACCAAATATGCAGAAAAGTAGACATACCTAAGATAAACCCTCATGTAACATCACCCAGTTTCAACAAATGTCAGTTTGTAAATATTTTCGTTTAAAATTTTAAACACATAACAAAAATAATACAGTGAAATTCTGTGTACCTCTCTATCACCCAGGTTCTCTACTGGTCAATCTTGTCTCATCTATTTTCCCACCCACACTCCCTTCTTGTCATAATTGGGTTATTTTGAAGCAAACACCAGATTTCATAATTACATATGTAGATATTTAAGCATATTCTTAAGAACTCTTAAAAAAAAAAAAAAGGAAAGAAAAACATAGGCAAAATATTATTAATGCAGTAAAGGTGTTCTTCACATTTGTGGTAAATGTTAAGTTAAAGTAGACTCAAATTTGGCTCCACCTAGCGGTGAGGAAGGTGAAGCTGGGAGAGAGATTTTTGACATCCAGTGGGAGTGTGCAAAGGGAAGCATTAGAATTGTTTTACTTGTTTAACATTTTTTTTGATTAGTTATTTTTGTCACACAGATATCAGTGTTTTAAATCGGCTTGGATGTACCAAGTCCTTCATGAAGGATTCCACTTTCCCTATGACTACCCAAACCTACGGACCGCCCAGCTAGTATATGACCGGGAGGTTCAGTGGACGCTGGGAGCCATTCTGTATAAAACACGGTTCCTACCACTCAGGTAAGGAGGACTAACCAAGCTGGCATCTTGAGCTCAGAATATGTTAGTGCCCCAGAATAGGTTTCTTAAGTGACATATCCCACAAACAAACTCCCTTTAATACTACCAGTTGGACTGCTCTCACTATGTTGAAATAAAAAGAAGGTTGAGCGTTATGGGTCTGAAGTCTACTCCTCAGCTTTGCACTTTCAGAAATTCAGTTTTATTTGTTGGTCCACAACAAATCAGTCCTTAGGATTGAGCTTTCACTAGCCACTTCCAAGATACTGATTAAGAAACTAAAATGGCATTCTTAAATTACCCTGGAGAACATACCTGCCCAGAGAAGTGGGGGAGGCTGTTTGTCCAGAGCCATCTCTCCTAATGATCAACACCTGGGTAGAGATGTTGCCACTGCCTTGAAGGCTTTCCGTGGGCCTGAATTCGGGCAGAAGGTGAGGAAGGAAATTTTCATCACATGATCATGGCTTGATGTCTTGCTGTTGTGAATCAGAAGGTATTTGGGATAATCTTTAGGTGAAATAATCTCACTGGATTATTTCAAAACTAAAATGAATTTTTTAAAATATTTAAAAAATTAATTTCAGAGAGAAAAGGAGAGGAGAGAGATGGAAACATCAATGATGAGAGAGAATCATTGATTGGCTGCCTCTTGCACGTCCCCACTGGGAATCAAGCCCGAAACCCAGGCATGTGCCCTTGACTGGAATCGAACTCAGGACCCTTCAGTTTGCAGGCCGATGCTCTTTCCACTGGGACAAACCAGCTAGGGCTGAATTCTTATTTTTGATGCCTGTTTTACTAAACTCAATACTGTCAAAAGCCTTGCAAGTGATAGAAGTCAGAGAAGTGGAGACTGGGAGAGTGTGCGCTCTCCCTGAAGGGCTGGCCACTGTCATGCAGAAGTGATGGCCCAGCATTTGCCACTTCTCATTTGGCAAGAGAAGCCAGATGTCCAGATTTTATATGCAGTCTTTCAGTTTTGAGAGTCATATTTAAAAAAAACAATTACACTGCAGTTCAAACAAAACAAAAACCGATCTTATCTGGACCACAGGAGAAGGGCTTCATTTCCAGACAGGCAGGCAGACCCCTGCACTTAGCTTTCCGTGTCTCTTAATGTCTGTCCTGATCACAATAGAATTGATCAGATTACAGCTTTCTTTAGCCATAACCTAAATTTTCAGAAAGCATAGTAACTTTAAAAAAAAGATTTAGACATATTCTGATTTCATATATATGTGTGTGTGTACATGTGTGTTTTGTGTATATATATAATTTTTTTTTTTCCCCAGAGAGGAAGGGAGAGGGAGAGAGAGAAACATAAATGACCAGAGAGAATCATTGATTGGTTGCTTCCTCCATGCCCCACACTGGGGATCGAGCCACAACCCGGGCATGTGCCATTGACCGGAATTGAACCCAGAACCCTTCAGTCCACAGGCCAATGCTCTATTCACTGAGCCAGACTGACGAGGGCTGATTTCTTTATTGGATTCAGGGACCAACCTCTTGTTGTTAGTACTACATTTACAAACTATTAGGTCAGAGTGTTAAGGGGCCAGTTAGAACTAATGTTACAGATGACCAGTCTTGTCTTATTGTTCACTTCTTTGCCTTCTTAATTTTGTTCCCAGATTCTGGAAGATTTAGGCCTGTGAGGCATCCTTTGTAGGCTTGGAAAGGAAGATATAGAAAAATATCACATAGCAGCCCTGGGGTTGGGGCCATGCTTCAGCTTTCTTGCTCAATGGAACTGGTATCATAGGATGTTTATGTGGATAGAATAAATGGGCTAACATCACTGGCCTTTTTAGGTCAGCATCAAGGTTTCTCTCTGAAACTAACATTTCTTTTCACCTTCAAACTGTTCCCTAGGGATCTACGGCAGGAAGGTGTCCGACAGGTCCACAGTAGCTGGTTCCGTCTCTCCTTTGTCTACAACCACTATCTCTTCTTCGCCTGTATCCTGGTGGTGCTATTGGCCATCGTCCTGTACCTTCTGCGGTTACGCCGAATTCACCACCGACAAACTCGAGCCTCAGCTCCATTGAACTTGCTGTGGATTGAAGAGATGGTGCCCATGATTGGGGTACAGGTGGGGCCATGAGGCCGGGCAAGGACTGTGGAAGCTCAAGTACTCCAGAGTTGCTGCTCATTGAATTCCACCACTTTCTTGTAATGGCTTCGGATGCTCTTGGCTTGATCATGTGGATATTTGGCATTGGAATTTCCACTTTATTATCTTCTTAAATTCCTCTTAATCTCCAGGTCCTCTTATCTGAGAGAAGCTGTAACTTAGTCTGCGAAGAACTAAGTAATGAGAGATTGGTGCTAACAAAGGGGACCAGCCTTAGTCCAATTGAAGCACGCTTCTCCTTTAACTGAGAGATCTGGTGTGTTCCAGGGATTTAGACTTCTCTCCCCTTGCTAAAGCACGAAGTTTGGCATTGGGCATACTGGAAGCTGAGGTGAAACCAAATTTGGAGCTTCTGATACAAAGCCGAAGACATTCTAGCAAGTGCAGCAGCCCCTTCTTTCTCTGTAACAGAGATATCATTTATGTGGAGATCCACAACCCTTAATAGGGGTCCAAGATAATTTGCAGTTCAGTGGAACAGATACGAATTTCCAGGCAACCAAAATAACACAACTTCCTTGCTTCTTTGACAGAGAAGCCATTGAGTGTGGGCCAAGGTCCCTGACAGTGTTGCTGGTGTTAGTATGTGTTTTAAAAGGTTAGAAACCCTTCTAAATGACTGGATCATCAAAGATTTTGTCTAAGTCTTATCTGATGTCTTGTATGACCAGGACAGAAAAATTTTCCATGTCTATGGGCCTCAGAGGCTGTTTGGGCATTAATTTTTCTTTTTGATTCTTAAATACGCTTGTAGGATGGAGAAACTGTGATGGGTATTGGAGACCTGGGTTTGGTTTCAGGTCACTGTCCTATAGGCCTATTTAAATTTTTTTTTTTTTTTTTTTTTTTTTTTTTTTTTACTGATTTTATTGGACTGACATTGGTTAATAAAATTAGTTAGGTTTCAAGTGCACAATTATGTAATACATCAGCTATATATTATATTGTGTGTTCACCACCCCAAGTCTCCAGGCCTATTTTTATGAGTCCGTATACAGGAAGATTCAAAAGAGTTCCTTTATTTCACTGCTAAGATCAATAAAATCAATAGTTTGGGAAGGGATATATTTGGGTTGTTTTTAAAGAAGGAAAGAACCATATTAGGATAGTAGGCAAAGGCAATAAAATCCAAGCTCTTATTTTTTTCTGAGAAATCAAAATTTTCTCAATTTGACTCTGGAAATGTCTGAAAAGAAGCAAATTCTAAACTTTGGAATAAATAGATAAATCTGTTATTAGACCACATGGCAACTTTCAGAACCTTTGTTAAAAAATTGCTCAGTCACAAACAGCATTTCGTTTAATGAGGAGAGAGGAAAAGCCATAATTATTGCATTTTCATCCGTGACTCTCCCGGAGCTTTGCTCTTTTTGTTCTGCCCTCTACATTGCAAGAGGATTCATTCCTGAGCTTCCACCTTCCCCCATGGTATGTTCTTTATACTTTATCCTTTCTTATATGGACCCTTGAATGTCCTGCCCAAGAATGTGCTCCCAGAGTTGAAGTAGCTTTCTTTTCGTATTTTTTTTTTTTTTTTTTTTGTCACCTTCATTTCTAAAATTAGATAAATAGGGGAAATGGACCTTGACTTTCAAGGTTAAAAAATGAAAAAGATTTTTTTTATTTTTTATTTTTTCTCCCTTTAATCCTCACCCAAGGATATACTCTATAGATTCCTAGAGAGAGAACAGGAGAGACAGAGAGAGAAACATCAGTGTGAGAGACATTGATCAGCTGCCTTCTGCATGAGCAATTCTAGCTATTTAGGCATGTGCTCTGACTGGGAATCGAACTTGCACCCCACCCCCACCCCCTGTGCACAGACAATACTCTAAGCAACTGAGCCACCTGGCCAGGGCAGAAGTGAAATTCTTAAAATGTAAATTTCATACTGTGAGCAGAAAGGGAATTAAATGTTCATAAAACAGAAAGATCAAGGTAAATAGATGACAAGTCTTGAACTGTTTTCACATTGGATAATAATGGAGCTAGCAAAGTATCTTATAGTTTCCTTTGGGGATATATTTTTATGACTTATAGTAATTTCCATTAATTTCTAAGACTTCTAAATTACCTTGATTTTCTTTGACTTATCTTTCTGTCACTGTGAGTGAGCCCTCTCGCCTTATGAATGCTGCTTATAAATAAGGTCAAAATGTTTTCCTTAGCCTTTGCCTACTCAGGTAACTCTTTTCCTCTCACCTTTATTTCCAAATACTACTTGTATTTTTCTTGTAGATCCAGTCAGTGATCTAGTCAAAAGCTATCTAACAGGTTAACTGATCCCTTTCATGTCTCAAAATGAAGTTGAAGCAGGAGGAGGTGGTGATTAGTCCAGATAGAAAGCTCTTAGGAAGTTATTCTTCCTGGTTTTAATAATAATAGCTATCATTTGTTAAGCCCTTATTGTGTAGCAGTCATTCTGTTAATATTTTTATATATATTATTCAATCATTATGGCATTCTTTCAGATTGATATTACCATGTTGTTTTTTTACAGTTGAAAAACTCAGGATACTTATGTTTATAATTTTTTCACTGTAAATGTATTTCATATTCTTAATTTATTTTAATTAGTCTTTAATTAGTGTGCTATATCCTGTATATTATTTTAATCTTATAATCTTGGCTTGTTTTTATTGCCGTGAGTAAAACGTGTCAGAGTCCCATAATATAAAATGAAGGACACATTTTTTATCACTCCCTGCAGAAAAACTGAATAGATGCTCTTAGTATTGGTTCCTGTACTTCTATTGCTCCCAATTAATGATCTTAAATTACATTTCATTAGCTAGAAATAGTAGCCATTTATTTCTTGGAGAGGGGCAACTATATATATTGCTTTCTTTCCATGAAATATTTTTACCTATAGAGTCAGACAGTCTGTCTTGCTTTTTAGCTCTGTTTCAAAATATTTTTAAAAGGTTTCTTTTCTTTTTGCCTTTTGAGTATATAAACTACTCAAAAGGCAAATTATGGTTTCATAAAATTCACATTCCAGTAGTTCCTTTGAATCCTACAAAGTAGTTCTTCCAATAATAGCAACAATGAATCTGAACTGTTTTAGTACTTTTATTATCACTGAGACAGGTCACAAATGTCAGAACCAGAGTTGGTGGCTTAAAGGGGTGATGTTTCTATTAGCCTTACAATGGCACAACCCATTGCTCTTCTCTGAATTCTTATCACTACAGCATAAGGAAAGTATGAGTAACATCCAACTATATGGCATTATATTCACTTAAGTTGCAGTTAATTCTGAGGGAAATTGTACTATCTTTCTCTTTGTACCTTAGCTCCTTTGATTTTCCTTGGTCAAGGAAATGAGTCACTTTCCACTAGCCTTTTTATTTATTCTTTTGATGTCATCCAAAATATTTTGACTGTTCTTTCCTCAGCCTAAGAGCTTCCTAAATAGAAGCTCCTCCCCTCCTCCCAGCCCTATTTCTTATAGTTTTGTGTTTTGCTTTTTGTCAGGAGTGAAAAACATGTGGGTGGAAAAGAACATCAGACTTTATGAACAGCAGACTTGGATTCTAGTCCTGGCTTTGTCATTAACTAGCTCTGTTACTCCGGGCATGTCACTTGCCCTCTCTGGTTCATTTCTCATCTGTAAACAGGGTGGCTAAACAAGATGATCTGAGCTTAGCTCCAAAGGGAGAACCATTGGCCTAAGACATTAAATGCAGGTGAGAAGGTAGGAAAGTAATACGGTTTCAGGAAGAGGATTTTGGTCTTTGGTTTTGAAGACTAAAGGAGCCAATGGTCATCTACTTTATTCATTACTTCTGGCATTCCCTGGTGCGAATGGATATCTAACAGCTATCATTATACTTCCATTTCAGGGCATGAGATTTTAAAAGGGATTTTAGAGGTCTTCTGGTCAACCCCCTTGATTTTATAGATGATGAAATTGAACCCCAGAGCAATAGTAATATGTGCTGTTACTACTACTAGTGACAGCTGCCATGAGATACTCAGAATCTTCCTGCAAGATTGTGTATTTCAATAGAGTCTATTCTTTATAATAGCTGACTGCAACTATTATTATAAACATGTCCCATCTTTGTAACTGCTTCTGATACTCACTTGTGATTGTTTTGCTCGTATTTAGGAATAAAATATGAAAGAAATGCTTTGTTAGGGACAGTACCAAGTTTTCACTACATCTACTCTAACTTCTGTATTTAATACTTTAAAATTTTAGATACCTTTTAAACAATTTGCTTAATTTTGTACAATTTTTTTTCTTTTGTTAATCCTCATTCGAGGAGATTTTCCATTGATTTTTAGAGAGAGTAGAAGGGAGGGGGAGAGACGGAGAGAAACATCAATGTGAGACAACAATTGGTTGCCTGCTATACAAGTCCCAACCAGAACCAGGGATCAAGACTGAGGTACAAGCTCTTGACTAGAATGGAACCCAGGACCCTTCAGTCTACGGGCAGACACCCTATCCACTGAGCCAAACCAGCTAGGGCTTGTGCAGTTTTCTTAAGCATAACATCCAAGCAATTCATGTGATGGTTACAATCTAAATTACTTAAGGTATAAATGCCTATTAGATCTACCTCACTAAGGAACTTGGTTGTATTTCTTGGGCATTTTCCAGATCCCTTACAGAAACTGTGCTGTTTCTCTTTGCTATCTTTAAACTTCTTTTCAATAAGGTAAAAGTAGCGGTGGATGTTTTATATTCTCCCAAAGTAGTTCTTCAGTTATGCTAGTTTCAGAGTCCTGCCAGTACGGCCATATGTTCTCCAAACTTGTGAGGATTTTGTTGGTTATAAAAAGTATTTGTTAAAAAATAAGGCCTTTTAGTGGTGTGAAAGTAACCATAGACAAACGTAAAAAAATAAGGCCTTTTAAAAATATCCTAATAGACTTCCCTTGTATTATTACTCAAGTTTTCCTTTGTTCTAATGTTCACTATTTCTCAGTACTTTTATTGGAAGGACAGAGGATCTTGACCATTTTGTTTCTCTGGAACACTGAGCAATAGAAATCCTTTTATTTGTAAAGTGAATTATTACTCATACTATAAGGACTTTCTACTTTTAAAATGTATTCAATCATTGCTTGCTATTTTTTTTTTATTGATTAAGGTATTACATATGTGTCCTTATCTCCCCTTTGCCCCCCTTTCAACCTCCCTGGTGTCTGTGTCCATTGGTTATGCTTATATACATGCATACAAGTCTTTTGGTTGATCTCTTTCCCCTTACCCCTCCCATCCCCTCCCTTCTGAGTTTTCAGCAAAGTTGAAAAGATTTCTGAACCACAGAATGTTTGTAGCCAAGTGTGTGATTGAGGCCAGCCTGAAGTCACGTCTGCATCTGAGCCTCTTTTGTTTTAGTGCAGCTGCTCCGACACCCCTGGTCGCCTGCCACTCCTCCACCATTCCACTCCACCCTCCTAAGCAGCCTCTTTTGCAGAGCACCTGCCAGGGTTTGGCCTGTGAAGACTACTGGTGCTGAAGGCTCTGCCTTTTACTAGCTTCATAAGAGTCTTGCTCTGCAAACAGGATCCCAAATATTATACTTTGATTTCTGTCACTATGTTTATATGAAATAATTAGTTCCTTGTTAGTTAACACCGTGAAGTTTCTGCCTCGAGTGATGGACTCTGCAGTGTTGAAAGACATCTTTTTTTTTTAAATGATCCACAACAGATGCTCCCATCTCCCTTTAAAAGACCAAAGGCTGCCTGTATTGCATCAATTTTGGGGCTTACTAAGATTGTATGTTTTTCTAACGTTTCACATTAAATAATTTTGCTGGACAGTTCTTAAAATACTCGCTGGTAAATACTGTTAAATCATTGTTGAGCAAATTGTGCAATGCATATTAGAGGGGAGGGCATTCTCCTTTATGCTGGGACATGGGTATGTGTGTTATCTATGCCAAAATAAACCCACCAATCATTCCAGGACCAGAAGGAAAGACTATTGCAGATAAACTGGTTATCCTAATATTCTGATCATCAGTGTTGGTCTTTGCAACCAGTATCACTTTAAGGCAGTAGCTACTCATTATCCCTTCATATGGATAGCATTTGTCACTGTTAAGTTAAAGACAGAAATATTCTGGGTTAAGAAAAGCAGGTGTTTTAACTCCTTTGATGTTTTAAAAACAACTGACAGAATTGTTGAGGGACCTTTGAAAACATTATACATTTATTTAATCTTGTAGGTATGTGATGACTTATTTTGGAAGAGGTGCCTGGGACATCAATCTCTAATTATTTTCCATTCATTCATGCAATATTTGGTATGTTGGGAATAATGCAAACCTAAAAATAATTCAGATAATCTCCGTTCACCAGGATTGTGGATAGGCATAATAGTTATATAGCTTAATGCAACCAGATCTGTTTTTTCAAACTTACTTGTCTTTAATAAAATGAAAATGAAGTAAAGTATCTGAACCTTGAACTTAATTCATTTGTTGCTTCTTTGTTGGAGGGAACTGTACAAGCGGTAGCATATGGTTCTTTGTATTGGATCAGAATGCCCTCTGGTGACTATTAACTAAGGACAACTTTAGTTTGGGGATCAGGAGAAATGGTATGGGAACCTACCCCAGTGATTCTATTTCCCTTTTTAAAACAATTCTGTCTAGAAGAGGTGATATCCCATTAATAGGATCAACGTGAAAAATAACAGATTTAAAAAGGAACCGTTACTGTAATCAGACCTAATGACATTCTTTTAAAAAATATTTTATTGATTTTCCACAGAGAGGGAGAGGGACAGAGAGCCAGAAATGTCAATGAAAGAGAAACATCGACCAGCCGCCTCCGAAACACCCCTTCTCCCCCACATTGGGGATGTGCCCGCAACCAATGTACATGCCCTTGACTGGAATCGAACCTGTGACCCCCCAGTCCACAGTCTATCCACTGAGCCAAACGAGTTTTGGCCCTAATGACATTCTTGATCCAGTGACTTCCAGAAACAGGCAAAGAATTTTTAAAAACTTGACCAATTTGGAAGCCATTTGATATGCCACAGTCATTCTCTTAGCAAAACCCAAGTTCTTTGGCTCTAATGAGCTCTCAAAAGCAGTTTCAGTCCTTCACAGCTGATCCTTTTAGAATTATTTTGGGACTCTTCGGAGTTCACTCATGAGCCAAAGGGCAACACTGAGCAGAGCCAAGGAGCCTGACTGGTGAGTAGCAGCCAAAGGAGTTGGAACGTACATTAGCAGAGTGCTAATGCCCAAGCCCACCTGTGAGAGAGGAAACCAGGCAGTAAGCAAAGCAGCAACCACAAATTCAGAGCCGAGACGACAGCATCGACAGCCACATACACAAACCTCTCTTCTCCCATCAGAGCATTGAAACAATATTTTTAATTTCATAAGTAAGGATATTTACAATGAAGTAAATTCAAACAAAACCAAAAAACCCTAAATTTTCCTTAAGTATCCTTCACCCTATCCCAGTTCCCCTCACCAAAGGCAGTCACTGTTATCAGTTTCTATACACTTGTATTTTTATTAATTATATTTTTAAAAATATATATTTTATTGATTTTGTACAGAGAGGAAGGGAGAGAGATAGAAACATCGATGAGAGAGAGTCATCTATCAGCTGCCTCTTGCACACCCTCTAAGGGGGTTATGCACGCAATCAAGGTACATGCCCTTGACCGGAATCGAACCCGGGTCCCTTCAGTCCCCAAGCCAACACTATCCATTGAGCCAAACCAGTTTCGGCTATACACTTGTACTTTATATAAATGTTTTGAAAAAGTTTTGTACTTTAAAAAAGTACATTGTTCTGTCCCTTGCTTTTTTTCACTTAATATATGGCTGAAGAGCTTATTATTTTAAACTGTTACATAATATTCCACAGTATACATTTACCATAGTGACAAACCTAACTACTTAGGTTGGTTTCCAATTTTTCACCATTTCAGCAATTCTATAATGAATTTCCTTACAGATACAGCTCTTTGTGCATCAGAATATCTGTAGGGCAGGCACTAATAAGTCAATTTGCTGGCCTAAGGGATTATATAGTTGACATCATAAAAGATAACGCCAAACTGCCCTCTGAAAAATACCATATAAACTCATGCTCTCACTAAGAATATATGAAGCTATCTATTTTCTTATACCTGTGCATTACCTGATTATCTTTTTTCTTTCTTTTCCCCCCAATCTGACAATGGCAGGCATTGTTTTAATTTGCTCCTCTGTCATCATGAGTGAGACTAAACAGCTTTTTGTATGGTATTTATTGGCTATTTATCATTCTTCTTATGAGAATTGTATATTGATATCCTTATTTTATCTTCTGGTTATTAACCTTCTAGTCTATCTTAAGTATTGAAAACATTTTCTCTTAGCCTGTTACCTTTCCTTTTTAACCTTGTTTTGGGGACGCCGTCAGGCCAAAAAGAAGTGGTTTATACCTGTGTATATGCCAACGCCAGCAGAGTGGCTGCTGCCATCTTGGTCCTGCGAGGAAGGGGAATTCTCCGGGAGAGGAAGTAGAGCGCTGTAATGGCAGTAACTGAAGTGATTCCCTGCGAGGGGAAGAGAGTCTTATCAAGTGCCAGGAGGAAGCGTGCCACCCTCCTGATTTCCGCTCACCTTCCATGTATCTCCTCTGGAACCAGTGAGTAACCACGAGGCACCTCCCAGCCCCAGGCAGGGGGTCCCTGCAGTTCCACCTCTGGTCTCTGCTCCTCAGTCTCCTTCCCCGTCTTCTGCTGGCCACTTAAATGCATGTGTGCCCCAGGTGCCACCTAAAGTTTCTGCGCTTTATACACTCTCTCTCGGTGATCTTATCCCCCTCCCACTGTGGGTGCCCCCAGCATGGCCCTCACATTTTAAGCCATTCTTTGCACTCTTATCCCTAATTTTATACCTATAGTAATCTTGTATTTTTAAAGCAAGGCTGACCCCAGCCCCTGAGGGGTATTATTATCCTGTGCGGTGAGTAGAGGAGGTGGTGGTGTTGCCAGCTATTGGTAGGAAGATCTAAAGTCTCATTTTCATTCCTGCCTCTTCAGAATGAGGGGCTGGGACTGGCAATAGGGTCTGTATTCCCCTTTCATGATGGCAAAGAGAATATTTTTATATAAAACCTGTACATCTATTTCACTTCTTTTCCTTTTCAGAGCTGTCCATGGTGACAATTTCAGACTTTGCTTATTCTAGAATGTGTGGCGGGGGACTTGCGCAGCCCTTGCATTCCCTGTGGACATCTGAGTCCTCTGGACTTAGCCATGTGAATGTATCCTCTCACATTCAACATACCTACCTCCATCTGTTGACATAGCCTATGTCTAGCTCAGCACTCATTCCGATAGCCTCATTTTTGCTGGTCATGTTTAAGCATGCCCCCAAAAGAAACTTTGGAATCTTCATCTTTCCTCACCGCATTTCTACAGCAATATTCTATTCCTTACAACTTCTCTGTTTCATCATTCTTCTTAAACCCACTCCCACCAGGAAGCCTTGAACCCCATCACTCTCACTCTCACCTGCATTCCTGCAATAGCACTGCTGCTTCTCACCAGTCTCTTTGTTGCTCATCTTCAATTTATCATGCCAGAGTACCAGACCGATATTAAAATGACCCATAGCAGGCCCTTAGTAAATATTATTAAGTAAAACAAAAAGTACATATGATGCTCTTGGCTCCTTGGGGGTTCTGGTTCAGCTCTGACAGCTATGTGCTCAGCGTCCACTGTCTGCGCACCCTATTCTCTACTCAACCTTTTATCTGCTAAAACGACTCTCCTATGTGTATGCAAGATTCAGGGAGGATATTATTTGCTAGATGGTGAAAGGCAGATTCAAACTTTAAGAAGCTGGCATCCTGAAAGCCAGAAGTTGGCTGGGATGGTGTGTGGGTAATTAGGAGAAAAACATCACCTTAGAAAGCTGCTACTCAACTTCCTCTTTAAAAAAAAAAGGGGGGGGGGAATGTAGTGCCCACTCTATCCTCTCACTGTGTAAGCAGTGCTTCGAATACCCAAAAGCCTGTGAGAGGCTCCCTGTTCTTAGTAGCCAGTAACCACCAGCCAGACTTACCAGAATCCGGTGATCAAACTGCACCATAGTAGGATTCTCAAAAACATTCCTCAGGATGGGAGAGAAGGTGAAAAGGTCTTCTGGGATCCAAGATTCTCCCATCTTGGGGAAGGAGTTGTAAACAAGCCCAGCATCCAGTCCTGCCACAAAAGCCCCTGCATGCCAAGGTAAATGGTATTTATTAAAATGAGAGAAAGAGGAGGCCAAAATACTATTCTGACACAGAAAAAGTTTATCTGGACGGGGTTAATGAGGGGAAAAAAGGGACATATGTAATACTCTCAATAATAAAGATTAAAAAAAAAATAGTTTATTATCTCAGAGTTAGATAAAATGAAGTGCTATTAGTAAGAGGAAAGAATAGAAACAGAGGGCAAAGACGGTGGGTATGAGAAAGGCAGATGCGGAAAGGAAATATGAAGTTACAGGAAGAAAGGGAAAAGCATTAGGCAAGAGACCTGAGAGTGGAATAAAAATAGGCCATCTTGAAGAGTCCTACCTGAGAGAGCTGTAAGGAACACCAGGCCTGTTGTTCCGTGAGCAAATCGTCTCAACCGCAGGAGCTGACGGGTTTCAGGCAACTAAATAAAAAAAAAAATCACTCAAGTTAACAAACTGCAGGAACTACAGGAGGAAGCAAAGATCTCCATGGCTAAACCCAAGTGACAACTTGATATCAGATATTCCGACCTCTAAACGAGGCTAGGTACTCCCAACAGGTACTCTGTTCTAATACACATCATATTTTATTAAATTTATACATTTACCACCTATCTTCTCTGCTATCCGGTAAGTCCTGTGAACGCAGGAACTGCCATCTGTCTTATCACAGTAGCCCTAGCCCAAGACTTGGCATTAGGTACTCAATACAAATCTATTTCATCACTGCATGATTTGCATTGCAGGGGGATGGAGGTGGGGATATGGGGGGCGGGGAATATGCTTCGCCATGGTTAACATGATGTGGCTTAAAATATAGGACTGGATTTTCATCTTGTGTGTGATATTTAATGCTTACTAAATATAATCAGAATCAAAACTGCATAAAACGCCTAGAGTGGAGATTCTGGCATTTAATGCCTAGAGTGGAGATTCTTGTATTTTTGGTAAAATCAAAATTTATTTTTGCTATAGCCAACTTTGATACTAATCAGTGAGTCAGCAAATATTTATGAAGAACTTTATAAACAGGTAACCATAAAGATACAGAAGGTGAAGTCAGAGTGCTGCCCTCAAATGCTTTGCAATCTAGTACGTGAAGAATGAGGTATCATTACTGAGATTTTTGTAGCACAATGTCAGGGCTGTCAAATAAAACTTCTGCAGTGACGGACATGTTCTAGTATCTGTATCTGCCTCCAATAAGTGAAAAATGAGAACTTAAACGGAGGCTAGAGCAATTTAAAATTAAATGAAAAGTTAATTTTATTTAAAGTTGTAGTGAATAACAGGTTTGCTTAAAGTTAATTTTATTTAATATTAATTAATTAAAATTTAAATAGCCATATGTAGCTAGTGAGCTACTGTGATGGAAAGCATCTCCAACTATATGTTTGACTATGTCAAGACTTTTCTGTAATTAGTGGAATATAAATAAATTTTAAAATTTGTTGATAATTAAAAAGTCAGAAGAGACTGTTTGGGAATGAGGGTGTATATGTGAGTGTATATGTATAGAGGTGGCTTGGGAAGCCAGATGACAAGAAATGAAAGGAAAGAATGGGTTGTCAGAATACAGCCATCATTATGGGCAATCACTTTAGAAATTTGGCTTATAAGGTCAGGAGAACAGCAATTTTTCAGATGTGGACTTGTCTACTATTCCAATGTTTCAACTCCATCTGGCTTCCCTGTGGGATGACTGACAAGTCAACATCTCCCATCCTTGTTGGGATCCAGGTCACTGGCTCCAAGTACCTATTGGATGATTCTACTTAAAAGTTCTATTGACATCTCAAAGTCTACTCCATGAACAAAATATCCAGATCAACCATGTCTTCAATACCTAAAATATTGTTCATTAAAAAACACACACCTAGAAAAAACTTTAATCAGCTTATGACAAAATACTTGTGGCAAGATCACTAAGGTTTACTATAGTGTTCGACTTGATAAATGGCAGGTCTCTAAAGAACCAACAACCCAATATGGCTCTTGTGCACCACCACAGGGCCAGAAATAGCTCTTGTTCTGGCCTCCTTGCCAGGCCATTCCCATCCCTCCATAGAGTGGTTGGGATATCTCTTATTGTTGGTACTCAGTCCCACTTTTTCTAAAATTCATGTTTTCACCTTTTCCAATAAGCAATGCTGACAAAATACGAATCTCTTATACCATTTCTCCTTTGAGTGAGTTTCTCCAGCTCAAAATAACTGCATGTTTTACTCTGCAATCTCAAAGCTATTCAGTCCCAAAGTTTAATGTTTCTCTAAACTTTGGTTTTATCTGGTTGCTGGCAAATTGGTAGATTTGGGAATATGTACATTTTGACTAACTTCCTAGTAGAGCCGGAATTACCTGTCAGCACTGTGTAGAAGTGTAACAGTACAGACCGCCTTTTACCTTGTGCGGAGGAAGCAGCAGTGAGAGTGAAGTCCACAAGCTGGCGCAATAAAGAACCAGGGCTGATCCCAGGTGGGCGGCCAGGCGGTACTGACTGACCCGAGGGATGTCATGAGAATCTGGTTTTTCTTCTAATCCACTTTTCACCATATACCATCCCAACAGGCCCTAGAACCAAAAAGAGAGGAGGCAAAGAAAACAAAGTTGAAACTGTCTATTCAACTCTGCTCTCAGAGAAAGTGAGTTATCCATTACCAGGCATCCTCCCTGCCTTACACTTCCTTTCCATGCCCCTCCCATATCCTCCGTATCTCAGGAATCATGACTTACCCACATTTCCACATACAGCACCATAAATATTTAACTGCTGATTAGATTATCATTTTATTGGAGTATAAGTTAAATATAGAAAAGCATACAAAAGCTTATCTGTGAGCAAAACCTTACATATACTTGACATGATTTAACATTATGTGAACAAGTGAAATATGAGAATAAAGAGAGAGCTCTTTTTATAAAAACCAGATTGTTTTGGAAAGCCTGAAAAACCTTAAAAACAACTACTGTTAAGTTAGGTGGGAATAGAAAATTTAAAAAGCTTTGTTAGGGTAAAAATCTGTAAGGCTTTGCAGTCAGATTGCTTTGCAAATATCTACGTTTTCACTTCTCTTAAGGGAATAAAATAAAATGATAGTTTATGGGAGTGTAAGAGATCTGAGCTTGAACTCATTTCCTTCTACTGGGTTCATAATTTCATAATTTCCACATTAAATTAACCAATTCATTTTCTCCTGATCAAACTTTGATATTTCTTTGATGTCTTGATATTCTCCCTTTGGGCCTGAATACTTTGACCCAAATATTCATGTCTTTTCTAATACCCCTTTTCTTGGCTCTCAGCCCGAGTCACTCAATGATCCTTTCCTACCATTTGTAGTATATAGTACTTTAATACCTCTGAGCTACATCTATATTCTAAAATTCCTCAACCCATAAGCTGTTTTCTCTTTTGGAATTTCCTTATTTGCTTCTATTATTAGCCATTCTACCATAGGGATCCCAGTTCCGCACAGAACTGGCAACATAGAAAAAGGGAAGAGATGAGAATCCAGGAGAGCCGTGGTGGGAAAGAAACTCTAATTCTTGTGACACAAAAATATATTTGAATGCTTACTGATTCCAGGCACTAACCTAAGTTCTATATATGCATGATCTCATTTAATATTCACGCAACCCAAACAGTAGGTACCATTATTATCCTTATTTACAGGCAAGGAAAGCATAGCCTACAGAGGTCAGGACTTGCCTACTACGTGGTCGAGCTGGGCCTTAAAGCCAGGCATGCTACGCTAAAATCCACGCGCTCACCTATTCTGTTAATGCCAACTAGAAAGCTCTTGGGAACATCTTGTTTCCCAAACTTGAATAAGTCTCACCTGGAAGCATACTAAACCACAGAGGGCAAGAACACGTCCTTTCATGTTGTGGCTGAGCCAGCCCTTTCTCCAAAAGTAGGCAGCAGGCAGGATGTATGCGAGGCCTACCAGGCGACCCCACATTCGGTGAGAGTACTCCATGTACCAGATGAACTTGAATTCTGCCAGCGTCATATCATGATTTAAGCTGGGGGAAAAGGGAAATAAAAAAAATAAGCAAGAGGAAACATCCACCTCAATTTTATTTCCCAACAGAATGCAGGAACTTTCTCTGTCTTGAAGCTTGATAGGTCTACCCTCTTCCTCATCAGTGACCTCAGGATCTCTTTGGAATTGGAGGTTTAGCGTAGGAACTCACTAAACATAACGGAGCCAAATATCAAGAAATAATGGGATCTAATCTTCTGACTTGTTTAAATGAGCAAAAGACTGAGTGGGTCTCATGGGACATTTACCTGATTTTTAATAATACTTACATTTTAAATTCTGGAAATTGCTGATATTTTTGAAATTCTGCTTCCCATTCCTCGTGGCTTGTAGGTGGCTTCATCTCCTTTATTAAATGCCAGTCTACCATTGAGAGGCCAGACTCTGTCAATCTTAGGAAAGAAATTTGAGAGAGAGAGAGGGAAAGAGAGAGAGGAAGAGAGAATATGTGTAATCCTGGATGACTCATAAATAGTTTATGACAAGTGGATCTAATGGTAAACATTCATTGTTTCCTCTCTGACATCTTTCTCTTCTCTTACTGCTTAGAATTTTGACAGAAACAGCAAAATCAACCCTTAGATCAAGGAAATTTGTCCTAAATGCTTAACCAAGGAAAATAGATTTGATATAGGGATAACACACTTTAGGTTCTTGAATAAATTTAAAGACAGTAAAATTCAAATTTGTCAGTGCCCGTAACAGCCTATATAACACATTGTGATGTATTTGAAATAAGGGCACAGGAATGTGGAGAGAATTTGAGAACACATACTTAATTAAAACCAAAGGTATTTTCACCAAAAGGAGTTAGTGTTCCCTAAGTAAAAGGCTGATTTTAAGCTTGAGGCAGGAAATATACAAGAGCCTGGAAAGCAAGGACTCAAAGGTTACCAGGGTCCTGTGAAAATGACTCTGGAGCCAATTTGAGAGGTTCTCACTGACTAAGGATGGGAGAATTTGAGCATAACATCACTGCAATGGATTGAAACAGACCAAGTATGTTTAAACCTAGAGCTCATAATACTTAAAAATGCACACTTTATTGTTTACCTTTGGAGGGTATGTGGGAACCAATTTATTATTTTGAAAATTGGTAAATAAAGAGAAAGAATCAAGTATGTACTCTACTTTTCCTATATACAATGTACCTTAGGATAACCCAATTGTTGATGAGGTAAAGTTTCTCTTTAGAGCTACTAGACTATTACAATTTAAACTATAATGAAATAATGGATCTGGGCAATGATCACCAATGGTGGTTGGCATCTCTAATAGACACTATTAATAAACGTTATAATCTCCGATGAAGTATTTTGCCCCCTGTCCCAACCTGAGGTTGATCAAGCAATAACCAGTTTACAGGAAATAAGGGGACAATGGGAGTTGTTAACCACCACCACCATTGTATGCAAATCAGAAAAATCCAGACTGGGAAACTCTATTGGACAAACGATTTGGGTTTATTCAATAAAAACTGCAAATGGGGGGGGGGGGGGGGAGGAGAGTGATGAGGAGGAAAGGGGAGGTATAAAGAGACCTAAGAGGCATATGAACTAATTGTGATGTATGGAACTTATATGGGTTTCATTCAAACTGTACACAAAATTTTGAGACAAATCTGTACTCTGTTATAGAGGGAAATATACACAAACAATGTACAGCTAACAATTAAGATCTAAACCAGTCTTTATGAAGTGCTCCTATTAAATAAACCCTTAGCTGCTCTATGTGGGGGCAAGCTATCAGACATATTCCCTCTTTAGTTTCTGCATTTGTCAAATGAAGGAACTAGACTATATGATTCCTAGGGTCCTTTCTCCCTTGGTCATCCTGTACCTCTACTGATGACCCAAACAGCTAACAACGCTATGAGCAAATTACTCACCTAGTTACTCCACCAAGAATAACTGCTCCAGCCACTGTTCCACTGCAGACCAGGAGCCATCGGCCTACCACCCGCTCAGCAGCCTTTGAAGGAAGGGACACCGTACCCCTTCCAGACTGTAAAGCTACTTCAGAGATGGTGCTGTACTGCCCTGGCCTCAAGGGGGTCCCGATCCCACAGCGGCAGCCACACTAAGGATCAAGACAGACAAATGACAACTGGAGAAAGAGGGAAAGACCTCACTTCACTGCTACCCACCCTCAGTCCCACTGCGCTGTGCAACATCTCCACTGCTGCTGGCCCGGTAAACCATCTCTTCACTGGATTACTATCTCCACCTTCCTACTAGTTTTCCTGCCTGTAGTCTTGACCTCATTCGAATCCATTACTATCTCCACCTTCCTACTAGTTTTCCTGCCTGTAATCTTGACCTCATTCGAATCCATTGCCACCTACATGAACCTTCTGATCTCTGCATTCTTCCCCCAGACTTAACTCTACACCTAGACATGGGTTATTTTATTTCTTCTGTGGATCTTTAAATAAGATTTCTGGGACACCACTTATTCCCTGATATAGGCAGAAAATATAGGCAGCTGGTGTGGCTCAGTCGTTGAGCATCAACCTATAAAACAGGGATTCTCGGTCAGGGAACGTGCCCGGAATGTGGGCTTGATCCCCAGCAGGGAGTGTGCAAGAGGTGGCAGATCAATGATTCTCATCATTGATGTTTCTACTTCCCTTCCTCTCTGCAATCAATGAATACAGGCATACCTCATTTTATTGTGCTTCAATTTTTGCACTTTACAGATATTGCATTTATTTTACAAATTAAAGGTCTGTGGCAACCCTGCATTGAACAAATTGAAAACTTCCAGGAAAAGGAGTCACCATTCTAGATGCCATTTAGAACATTTGTGATTCACAAAAAGAGGTGAAAATATCAATATTAACAGGAGTTTGGAAGCTGACTCTGACCCTCATGGATGACATGGAGGGGCTCAGGTCTTCAGTGGAAGAAATAACTACAGATGTAGAAATAGCAAGAGAACGAGGATTATAACTGGAGCCTGCTATAACCTCATGATAAAACTTGAACAAATGAGAAACTGCTTCTTTTGTAGGAGAAAAAGTGGTTTCTTGTGATGGAATCTACTCTTGGTGAAGATACTGTGAAGGTTGCTGAAATGGCAACAACGGATTTAGAATATTACATTAACCTAGTGCTAAAGCAGTGGCAGGGTTTGAGTGGATTGACTCAAATTTTGAAAGAAGTTCCACTGTGGATAAAATGCTATCACCCAGCATCCCATGCTATAGAGAAATCATTCTCATGAAAGGAAGTCAATCAATGTAGTAAACTTCATTGTTCTTATGTTAAGTAATTGCTATAGCCACCCCAACCTTCCCCCTGATCGATCAGCAGCCATCAATCAATATCAAGGCAAGACCGTCCACAAACAAAAAGATGAGAACTCACTGAAGGCTCAGATGATAGTCAACAGTTTTTTAGCAGTAAGGTATTTTTAAGTGTGCGTTAAATTTTAGACATAATGTTAGTGCACACTTAGTAGTATAACGAAAATATAACTTTTATATGCACTGGGAAACCCAAAAATTCATGTAACTCGCTTATGTGGCATTGGCTTTAATGCGAGAGTCTGGAACTGAAGGTATGCCTGTAATGCCTACCGCAGACCTCAGTTTAGAAGTCACCTCCTCTGGTTGATGTTTTCACCTCTTTCCTCTGGGAAGTGCTCCCAGACTATCCTAGGTCTGCAATAGGTCCCTCTCAGCTCACTTCAGGTTCCTCCTTGTCTCCCACTAAACTATGAGCTGCGGGACAACAGTGTCTGGTCCTTTCTCTCCTGCTCCTTTTGTTTCAAACACAGGTCCCTTACCTAAAAAAAACCTTAATAGATTTAATAAATGAATTATAAATAACTGTGCCCTCCTCCAGGGCAGTAGCCTTTTGATAGTTATATTTGCTTCCCAGTTCCTAACACATAACAGTCACTCAATACAGTAATTGTTAGTTGAGTGGATACATGTCTTCTGACCATCCCTGAGGGCCAAAAGGCCCTATTTGGCTTCCTGCTTCTAATTAAGTAAGTTTAGACAGCTTACATTAGGCCTCAATGTCCTTCTTTGCAGAAGGGAGTTATAGGTCCCTTAACCTGGTTACCGGGTATTTTTAGCAAAAAAAAAATCAAATATCTGGATATAACATTTACTGAGCTTTTACTTTGTGCTAAGTGCTTAAGACTATTAAATGTAATCCTCCCGGAAATCTTATGAATTAAGCATTGTTGTTATCCCAATTTTTGCAGAGGAGGGCACTGAGGCACGGAAAGGTCACCTCACTTGGCCAAGAACACACAGCTAGTAAGTGGGGGGTCCAGGTCAGAACTCAGGGGCTCTGGAAACAAGGACCCGCGCCTGGAACTCTAAGGCGCCACGGAAACGTGCTGCGGGGCCCTCTACGGCTTTCCTCCCGGTGTCCGCTTCTGCCGCGGCGCGGTACCTGCGATCGAGGCGCCGCCCTGGGGGCCAGCAGTCGGAGACACGGGCTCCCCATCAAGGCCTTCAAGGGCGGAAAGAGTAATCGCTGCATCCTGAGGACGGTGCCCGGCCGCCACCTCCTCACCCCAGCACCCGGAGGACTCGCCCCTCTGCTGCGGGAAGAAGCACTTCCGGGTCACACTGAGCGAGCTCCTCCTCCCGAGACTGCGGGGGCCGGGGGGGGGGGGCGAGCAGCGACTGCGCCTGCGCCGGCGTCTCGGCCGTCGCGGGGGCTGCTGGGGTGTGGACGCCTGGAGCGCGCGGGGGCGTGCGCAGCGGCGAGGACGCGCACCCAAACCCGGGTCTGAGCGGAAACCGTAGTTTCGCGAGGGAGGAAAGGAACGCGTGGAGGATGAAGAGGCAGGGGTCCTCCTCGGAGCGGACGCGGGCGCGGATGCCGTCCGGGAAGGCCGGTGCGGAACGGGGCGGGGAGGGGGCGGCCCACCTCGCTGCCCCGAGCGGGCGGGGCTGCCGGGGGTTTCTGGTCGACCAGTGGGTTGACGGCGACCTCCCCCCGGGGGTCCCCTGCGCTACAGGTTCTGTCATTCCGGCTTTAAACACGTGGCAAGGGGCGCCTGAGAAGGGGCGTGTAGTGGGAGCGGCCCGGCTCTGGAGCCAGATGTGTGGGTTCGAATCCCGGTGCCCCCGCGTTTCGTCGTGCGTTTGTATTGGAGATGCTTAGCTTCTCTGAGCCGCACGGTTCCCGTCGACCCCGGAGCGACGCTGTGATGCTCGGATGGCGAGCACCTGCGGTGACCGCCCCATCACCTGGAGCTGCTACCGCGGCCCTGGCGCGCCAGGGTAGGATGGCATCCAGGTGTTAGGATTTGGCAGATCCCTCCGTGAACTCTGGGTTCCTCCCCACCAGCATTGATGAGAGAGGGGATCTCAAGATCCCCTTTCCCTCCTAAAAATTATTGAGGACCTCAAAGACTTTTTTTTTTTTTTTAAATATAGGTAAAATCTATTGATACTGACTGTATTTAAAATTAAAACAAAGTTTTAAAATAGTTATTAATTAGAAAATAACCATAATAAACCCATTACATGTTAACGAATATAACTTTTTTTTTTTTTTTTCCTGAAGAAGAACTGTTTTCCTCAACAAACAAAATGGAGTAGTGCCCATGTTTTGTATTTTTGCAGACCTCTTTCCCATCGGGCTTAATGGAATTCTCATGCCTGTGTTCTTATACCTGCTTCTGCATTCAGTCTGACATGTCAGGTAGCCTGCCCAAAACTCCATTTGTGAAATAAAGTGCAAAAGGCAAATAAAATTTTAATGTCTTGAAAGTTTTCACTGCACAGACCCTGAAAGGATCATCTGAGATTCTAAGATCCCTAAGGCCCCCAGAGTTAACTGATCTACGACACTTTGAGAACTGCTCCAAACAAATATCGTTTTCTTCGATCCCCATAATAACTTTGGTTTGCCTTCCTCTGCCTTCTGTCATAGCCTCTTGTGTGCATCCCCACCCTCTCCTAGCCAAGGCCCTTTCTTGCATGAGGCACATAGTACCCCTGCAGCATTGTCCAGTTGGAGTGACCTGACAGCTGGTATGGGTGGCTATCAGGAAACTCAGAATTAACGCAGCACTGCGGGTTGAGAGCAAAGGGTGGTGCTTAACTCTTTCACTGTTTGAGACAGATAGTCTTCTTTTAAATAAATGAAACAGTTGCAACTTGATCTTAGCAGATGATATATTTATGTTTTTCTTTTTAAAAAATATTTGTTTTTATTGATTTCAGGGAGGGAGAGAGAGAGAGAGAAGCATCAATGATGAGAGAGAATCATGATGGGCTACCTCCTGCATGTCCCCCACTGGGGACTGTAACCCAGGCATGTGCCCTGACCAGGAATTGAACCATGACCTCCTGGTTCATGGGTTGATGATCAAATACTGAGCCACTCCAGCCAGGCTAGATTTTTGTTTTTTAAATTAAAAATTGCTTTTTAAAAAATGATCAAAGCAATATTGGGGAGAAGAAAAATCAATCAATGTAGGAAAGTAAAAAGATAGTAAAGGCATTCCAAATCCCAGCACCTAGTTGTAATCATTATCAGTATGTGGTAACCAATCTTTCAGATATTGTAGGAAGTATGCATTCAGAATTCTTAATTTTTAAAAATTATGTGTTTAGCTTACAGAAAAAATTCAAAACTATTTTCATCATACTTTTTAGTGCAGATATGTGATTTTTTATGAATTTTTAATTATTCTGCCTTTAGTAAATTTTTGCTTGTCTATTGTGGACCATGGTAGACACTGTGCTTTCTGTAGGGGACGATAAAGATTTCTCACATAAAGACCTTGGCCAGGTGGCTTAGCTCATCCTCACAATCAATATGCCAATGTTGCCAAACCGTTTTTCGCTCAGTGGATAAAGCATCGGCCTGCAGACTGAAAGGTCCCAGGTTCGATTCTGGTCAAGGGCATGTACCTTGGTTGTGGGCACATCCCCAGTAGGGGGTGTGCAGGAGGCAGCTGATCAATGATTCTCTCTCATTGATGTTTCTAGCTCCCTATCTCTCTCTCTTCCTCTCTGTAAAAAATCAATAAAATATATTTTTTTTAAAGTATGCCAAGGCTGTAGGTTCGATCCCTGGTCAGGGCACATATAAGAATCAACCAATGAATGCTTGAATAAAAGAACAACAGATTGATGTTTCTCTTTCTATCCCTCTTTTCTCTCCCCCCTCCTCCCTGTCTAAAATCAGTAAGTTAAAAAATAAACTTTGTGGGGAAAAAGACCTTATTTACAAACTTTAGATCAAGCAAGAGTGATCAGACATTTATCCTCATAAATAATGACATTTAGAAAATCATATTTTGAAGAGATACAGTTAGTGTTTTAAAGAAGAATATATAACTTACAAAGTTATATGAGTTCAAAAAAGGGATTTACAATTCCCTACTTTGGGAGAGAGGAAGTGTCATGGAAATATGGTTTGACATGAATCTTGGACGAGTTTAGCAGTCAGAGATGGAGCTGGAAGGAGGAGATGGCATAAGCAAAAACAGGAATGAGGATTAGGGACAACGGGAGGCCTATAGAGAAAGTACCTTGTAGTTAATGAAAGTAGTATTTTTTGCACATTTAATTGGTATATCTTTACATGATTTATCTTCACTGGGGTAGGTACTACAACCTACTAAGTTGTATAGACAACTTAGGCCAAGTAATTTGTCTAAAATCATACAAGTATGGAGGGGGGCAGGGTTTGAAATCCATCCTAGCACTTAAACATATCCCTTGTGAAGAAGTTTAAATGTATTCTGCAGGCACTCATTGAGAAGCATTAAAAGAATCTTGACCTGGAATGTGATGATGAGGACTGTGTTTTAGGAAGTTTAATTTTGCATTCAGTAAATATTGTTTCCAGTAATTTTTTGTATGTTAGTGTTCATATTTCATAGTCCAAAGACATCAGTTTTATAATTAAAATATCTTATTGCATTCATGGGCCCTTATATACTTATACACTTTCCTATATTGGATATTTGAATTTTGGCAGCAAAATATAAAATGATAGTGGTGGATTGGTCTGGATAAATAGTCCCGTCATGGTATTGCATTGTTTTTCATGTATTTTAGGGACAGCAAATGGATTTCTCATGGAAGTGTGTGTTGATTCAGTGGAGTCGGCTGTAAATGCAGAAAGAGGAGGTAAGAAAAATTGGAGAATGAATGATAGTTTCCAGTCCTTTTAAAAAAAATATGTTTTTAAATTAATTTTTAGAGAGAGAGGAAGGGAGAAGAATAGAGAGATAGAAATATCAATGCAGGAAAAACATCATTAATTGGTTGCCTTCTGCATGTGCCCAACTGGGGATTGAACCTGCAACCTGGTCATGTGCCCTGACCGGGAATTGAACCAGTGACCTCTTGAATCATGTGTTGACACTCAACCACTGAACCACACTGGCCGGGCTACAGTCCTTTTAAGAGACTGAAAATGAATCCTGTGAACTGACCTTGGGAGCCTTTGTGATTAGGAAGGATTCTATTCTTTTGAAAACAACAAAAAAACCTACTGGAAAATTAGGATTTTTTAGTCTTACTCCCTACTAGTTTACGTTTTGAGTTAGTGTCCACAATATTGCTTACTCATCAACTTCATTTTTTTTAACTTACCAAAGATTTAATTTTTCCAAATTAATTTATTTAAGATTTCTACCTTATCTCCCCCCACCCCCCCGCCACACACACACACATTATTTTTACCTTATTTTTGCACTGTGAACTGTTTTAATAGGAAGTATTTCAGGATCAGGAAATTTGTTTAGTGCATATATAAAAATAGAGAAAATAGTATAATGAATCCCCATGTACCCATTACTTAGCTTCACTCATTTTTAGTACATGACCAATCTTTCACCTCTTTTGAAGGGGGATGGTGACTACAAACTTTTTTGTAAAGAGCAACTTACCGTAGTATATATTTTCAGCCTTGCTTGCCACATTTGGTCTTTCTTGTATCTTCTTTGTGTTTTTTAAAGCAACATTTTATTTATTTACTTGTATGTGTTTTTTAGAGAGAGATCAATTTGTTGTTCCACTTATTTATGCATTCATGAGTTGATTTTTGTATGTACCCTGAGTAGGGATCCAACCTGCAACCTTGGCATACCCAGATGATTCTCTAACCAACTGACTTAATGGGCCAGGGCATCATCATCTTTGTTTTTAAAAATAATCCTTTGAGTTCAACCTCACAGGTCGATGCTCAACCACTGGGTCACCCAGGTGGAACATTATGTCATTTCATCCTCAAATAATTTAGTATGTATCTCTAAAAGGACAATTTTTAAAAATAACCTTAATATTACTAACATGTCTTAAAACTTTGATTTTTAACATCATCAAAAATACCCAGTTAGTTCCTGAGACCTTTAGACATAAGACACCATAGTCTGATAGTTCTTTAGCTTTCATATTTTCTTATTCTTGAAATTACCTTGAATTAAACTGTTTAAAATAACTATGCTTTTTTAAAGTTTAGAATAATAAAGACTCTCTTGAAAAACATTGTTATTTTCTTATTAGTGAAGAGTCCAGAGTTCCACTATAGTCAATCTAGAAACTTCTTCTTTAAAAAAAAAATATTTTTTTTTATTGATTTCAGAGAGGGAGAGAGAGATAGAAACATCAATAATGAGAGTAATTGATTGGCTGCCTCCTGCAGACCCCCTACTTGGGATTTAGCCCATAACCTGGGCATGTGCCCTTGACCAGAATTGAGCCCAGGACCCTTCAGTCCCCAGGCTGATGCTATGTCCACTGAGCCAAGCCAGCTAAAGCTAGAAACTTCTTTATTCTAAGTCCCTTCCTTGTACATGGAGAAACAACACTGTAATACAAAATTTTAAGAAACCTTGTTTAACTTGAGTTAACACTTAAATTTGACTACCAATAACATAATGTGAGTTGGAGAGTATAGATGGAATTAAAAATAGACTTTTACATTTTATAATTTGATTTCTCTCTATTTCTCTTTTTCTGTATTTGGAAAAAATATTAAGTTTTCTATTTAATAGGAGTCTATTTTGGGCAGTAATTTTTTAGCAATGCTTTTTAAAAAGATTATTGTTTAAAGTATTACATATGTCTCCTTTTTCCTCCATTAACCTCTCCTGTTCCACACCCCGCCCCCCCCCCCCCCCCGCCCCGTGCCCTTACCCCTCTATTAACTGTTTCCATCGGTTATGCTTATATGTGTGCATATACGTCCTTTGGTGCCTTTAAAAAATATTTTTTAATTTTCAAATTTTTTTTGCGCTGAGCAATGCTTTTTAAAAAAAATCACAGGTGCTGGTCGGATTGAATTATGTTCTGGCTTAGTGGAAGGAGGAATCACACCAAGTATGGGTAAGTGTCCATTTTTTGGATTCCTGGAGACAATTGATAATTCGTTTCATTGGAATCCTTTACAATGTTACTAACATGTTAACTATGTTATGGATATTGTATCAGTTTGGTATGCTTATGGTTTTAAATAAACTTGTCTATCAAAGATGTGATCAAGTAGATTTTTTAGACATTAAAAAGTTGAGATATAGGTAGTTGCTCTTAATATTGGTTCAGTTGCTATGCAGTAATATCAGCAACCAGAGTTTTCTTTTATCTTTCACTTTTGGCATCCTTCGTCTATTGAGTTTTGTTTTCATTTCTCCCCTTTTGGTCTTTGTGTTGTTGACATACGTTTTACTTCTACATATGTTAAAAATTGCACACTACTTGTTATTATTCTCATTAAGGCATTTTATTTTCACACATGTAGTACATCCCTAGAAAAAGAATCCCAGGATTTTCCCTCCCATATATTTTGGTCTTGCTTCTTCATCATCCATGATGCCCACTGATGTTGTCAGTACAATGAAACCAAACTGATATGCCAGGAGCAGGTTAGTCTGCCATTTTCTAGATCTTGAGTTTCACATCAAATCTGGGGTTGATCACTCCATACTTGTTTAAGCTGCCCGGAAGGTTCACAACAACTTTCACAACTCTGATATTTTTTTTAAATTTTTTTAAAATTTTTAAATATTTTATTGACTTTTTACAGAAAGAAAGAGAAAGGGATAGAAAGTTAGAAACATCAATGGGAGAGAAATATGGATCAGTTGCCTCCTGCACATCTCCCACTGAGGATGTGCCTGCAACCAAGGTAAATGCCCTTGACTGGAATTGAACCCGGGACCCCTCAGTCTGCAGGCTGATGCTCTTTCCACTGAGCCAAACCAGTTAGGGGGAACTCTGATATTTTTTAAAGAGTCAGTTATTTTTTAGGATGTGAGGGCAATCTGGCTGCGACATCTGTTACCCCATTGATTACTTGGGTTGACACGGCTGATCTGGCTGGCTAGGTCCCTCCTCCCTCACTGATCCATGAGTGTCCTTCTTGAGGCTGCGTGCGTGCTTGAACGAAAAGAAGAGGACCGGTCTTCGGTCAAGGGTATAGGAGTAGCTGTGCTCCCCTGTTAGAACCTCCAAACAAGCTCTGTTTGCTTTTAAGATATTTTTCTTTATTTTTGGTTTGGAGCAATTTGATTATGATGTACCTGAGTGTAATTTTCTTCATGTTTCTTAGATCCGTACATTTATACTTGTTATCACATTTGGAAAATTTTCACCTTTCAATGTCCTTCACTCCCTCTTTTAGAGACTTCAGTTATACTTATAATTATTTTCAATTGATTATTTTTGTTCTACAATCACTGATGAACTGCACTTGTCTTCTTTTTGTTTCATTTTATATAGATCCTGTTGCTTTGTTTTCAAGTTTACTAATCTTTTCTCTGCAATGTATTATCACTGTTAATTCCATCTACTGTACTTTTCATCTTACACATTTTAATTTTCATCTCTAGAAATTTGAGTCTGTAATATCTCCCATGCAGCTTCTTAACATTTTGACTGTATGGATTAAAGTTATAATAGCTATTTTAATGACCTGGCTGCTAATTCTAACATCTGTATGAGTTCTAGGTTGATTTTGTTCGATTGATTTATTGCCTCATGGTGCATCTTTTTTTCCTGCCTGATAATTTTTAAAAAATATTTTTTAAATTAATTTCAGAGAAGGAGAGAGAGATAGAAACATCAATGATGAGAGAATCATTGATTGGCCACCTCCTTCATGCCCCCTACTGGAGATTGAGCTTGCAACCCGGGTATGTGCCTTTAATTGGAATCAAACCTGGGACCCTTTAGTCCACAGGCTGATTCTCTATCCACTGAGCCAAACTGGCTAGAGCCTGTCTGATAATTTTTTTATTGAATGTAAAATGTATATTATTTTGAGGTTGGTGATGGCATTTTAGTCTTTTAAAATATTCTCACTAAAGAAGGGCATTCTCTAGATATCCTATGACATCTCTAGAACATATCTAAATTTGACTGCAATCTGGTTTTTTTTTGCAACAGCAATCATGATTCATTGTTTGGTGTTAGGCATATTGCTAGCCCATGCAAAATTGGGGTTCTTTCAGCAAGGAAAAAGGAAGTAAATTCATATTGGATAAACACTAATGGTGCTTGCCACAAATCATAAACTATTGAGTTCTGAGCTAGTCATGAATTGTGTAATTTTTAGGTACTTTTTATTAATGGATCTCTGAATGAAATCACAAATAAGTAGAACTTTGCTCCCTTTTACATATCTGTTTCAAAAAAATACCTTTACTAAATGACTTTGTCCATTAAAGGATCATAAACTTTAGCACTGTGCAACCATCTCTATAGTAGGTTTTCAGTAGAGCTGTAATCAGTTAGAAAGGACAAACCTGATCTTAGGAATACAGTGGCAGAACAATGAGCCTGGTAGTTATTATACTTTCAAATGTTACATACCAGTAAGAAAATTTTTGTTCAACTGACAAGTTTGTTTGTTTGTTTGTTTATTTATTTATTTATTTATTTATAAATGTTCTTTTTTAAAAAAAAATACTTCTTTTAAAATTGATTTCAGAGAGAGGAAAGAGAGGGAGGGAGAGAGAGATAGAAAAATCAATGATGAAAATCACATGCCTCCTGCATGCCCCCTATTGGGGATGGAGTCTGCATCAGGGACATGTGCTCTGACTGGGAATTGAACTTCTACTTCTTGGTTCTCAGAACTGACAAGAGCTTTTAAAATGCATTGATTTCCTTCTATTTTCTAAGTTGTTCTCGTTTATCTTGTTTTTCTTATTACTTAATTAATGAGGATATTTTTTTCTTCTCAGTATCCTTTTTTCCTTTTAGACCCACTTTTCTCTGGTTTCCTCAGTCAACTCTTCCATTTCTTATAGAAATGATACTATCATAAGAGTGTATGTAAAAGACCAATAATATTTGACTTCCTTGAGCTTCTAGCTCACATTTGTATTTTAGTCTGCAGGCCGATGCTCTATCCACTGAGCCAAACCGGTTAGGGCTCACATTTGTATTTTAATTAGTCTGATTTCTATCCTTATAGGTGTCCTTCAAGTAGTGAAGCAATGTGTCCAGATCCCAGTTTTTGTGATGATTCGGCCACGCGGAGGTGATTTTTTATATTCAGATCGTGAAGTTGAGGTGATGAAGGCTGACATTCGTCTTGCCAAGCTTTATGGTGCTGATGGTTTGGTATTTGGGGCATTGACTGAAGATGGACAGATTGACAAAGAGCTGTGCATGTCGCTTATGGGTAAGAATTTGTATCTGAGACCAGAAAGCCTCTAATGATGCGTGCATTTAATATTCCCAATATGGAAAAGCACAATCACAAAACTGACTTTCAGGCACTTATACTAACTATAATAAGCAGTCGATTTTTTAGATGTTTGGGCAGGGGGTATGTGTGACATAGTCTTCTTGACTATTCTATAGATCAGGTTTTTCCACGTTCCTGAAGAATTAAAGGAAAGTTTACCTTGATTCTTTCAATTATTGAACCAAAAACTACAAAAGCTTTTGCATTTGGTGAGGATGGGGAAATATGAAGAGGACAGAGTAAACTATATTAGTAGGCTAAGTATTCTTGAAGATTCTCAGAGGAGTGAGTAATAGATAAAGTGCTGCCCTTGTAGTAGCTAGATTACATAATTTTTATTTGGTGCCTCTAAGAAGTGGATGATTATTTTTTAAATATAAAAATCAGAGATTAATGGAAATATAGGACTTATGAATTTGAAAGGCTGCCATTTTATTATTATTTCAGTTCACTTAGGAGAGGAAGATAAAAGACCATCTAACATGGAGAATTCTATATATAGTAATCAATGATGATCTCATCATTCATGTTGTTGTGTGACTTTCTTTTATAGCTCTGTGCCGTCCTCTGCCAGTCACTTTCCACCGAGGTGAGTCATTTCCATTTTAGAAATTCTGTTGAATAGTGTCAGCTTTCTAATTTCACCAACTGCCACAATCTTTGTTTGGGACACAATTCTATAGTGTTACATTGTTATAAATTGATTTCTTCTTTTTTGTTTTTTCTTTATTTTTATTTTAGAGGGAGTGAAAGTGAGAGGAGAGAAGAGAGAGAGAGAGAGGAGAGAGAAATAAATATCAACGTGAGAGAGAAACAACGATCAGCTACCTCCCGCACCCACTTCTACTAGGAATCGAACCAGTAACCTGGGCATGTGCCCTGACCAGGAATTGAACCTGCAACCTTTCGGTACTCATGAGGTGACTCTCAACCAACTGAGCCATACCAGCCAGGGCCCACTTGGTTTCTTTATACTGATCTTGGGACTAATAGTTGTAAATTTAGAAATCCACAATTTCTAGAATATATGAAGCCTAGTTGTGAAAAGTTGTTAAAAATAGATGGTGGTAAAAAAAAAAAAAAAATATATATATATATATATATATATATAGTAAAGCCCTAGCTGGTTTGGCTCAGTGGGTAGAGCATCAGCCTGCAGACTGAAGAGTCCCAGGTTCATTCTTGGTCAAGGGCACATGCCCCTATTACAAGCTTGATCCCCAGTAGGGAGTGTGCAGGAAGCAGCCAATCAATGATTCTCTCTCATCATTGATGTTTCTATCTCTTTCCCTCTCCCCTCCTCTAAAATCAATATAGATAGATAGATAGATAGATAGATAGATAGATAGATAGATAGATAGATAGATATAGATGATGGGGGGGAGGGCTATAACAGAGGGAGAGAGTAAGTATTGCCTATGAGTATATATACTTGTCACAGAATTCCAAGCAAAAATCCTGAGATTCATTTTTATTAGATTGGCTTAGGTCTTATGCAACCCCCAAAAGAATAAATTACTGTGACCAGTGAAATGAAATTTGTTGCTTGTTAAGGTTGACAAGACTATTTCTGTATCTAGGAGTGAGGTCAGCTTCTCTAAAAGAACATTTGATTCATGGGCAGAAAAGGGGATGGATATTTGAAAAAGAACTGGACTCTATTACGAAGGAGGAAAGAAGAAATAGGTGCTAGGTTGTCAATGATCTGCATTTAAGTAAACACATCTATTCAGATGTGTACCACCTAAATGATCATGCATACCATCAGTTGTATGCAGACTGTGGTTGCTGGTAAACTGGCTCTTAGGGGAAAAACCCTGATATATAGTATTTGTTGATTTCTGTGGTTTAAATACTCTGTTCTTGCTCTGGCCAGTGTGGCTCAATTTGTTGAAGCATCATTCTGTATACCAAAAGGTCTAGGGTTCAATTCCCAGTCAGACCATAGACCCAGATTGTGGGTCATACTGGAAGGAACCAATTTATGTTTCCCTCTCTCCACCCCCTCCTTTTTCTCTCTCTAAAATTGATAATAACATAAACTTGGGTGAGGATTTTAAAAAAATACTCCCACCTTAAGTGATTTCAAACTGCCAATGGATTAACAGTCATGCTTATAAAATTTCTGAATACTTAACAATGGATTCATATAAGCCAATACCAGCCAGGTCCAGCACACCACTGTAAGTATACTACATTTTAATCATCACTGTGTTACTGATATCTGTTCAAAATTTAAATAAATTTTATTTATTTCAGCCTTTGACATGGTTCAGGATCCAATGGCAGCACTAGAGACTCTGTTAGCCTTGGGATTTGAACGCGTGTTGACCAGTGGCTGTGACAGTTCAGCGCTAGAAGGGCTACCTCTAATAAAGCGACTCATAGATCAGGTACACACAATTTCTTTTCCTTCTAAAACTGTTGTGGTTCTCCCGATAATCTGCTGTTCAAATGGGTTGTGAAACTAAATATTACTAACTTCAAGTTTACTCTATAGGAAAAAAACAAGTATGCAATAATGTATTTATATAATTCTTCTTTCACATGAGCTCTTTTAGTAATCAAAGCTCTTAAAATCAGATTATAGACAGATCTTACCTAATTTGGGTAACCAGAGCAAATTTTACTTTTTCTCAGCCATCTTTATTGCATAGTTTTAAACCATATCTTTTCACTGACTATCTATGTATACTCAGGAGATCCCATATGAAATTTGAGGTAATTATCATTTTAGGAGAATTCTAACACTAAAACTATATTCTTCTCTCATTTATTTCTTTATATCAAGACTAGAGGCCCAGTGCATGAGATGCATGACTCGGGGGGTCCCTCAGCCTGGTCTGCGCCTTCTTGCAGTCCGGAGCCCTCAGGGGATGTCCAACTGCCGGCTTAGGCCCCGTCCCCTTAAGCTGGTAGTAGGACATCCTTAGCTCTGCCTTGGAGGTGGGAGAGGCTCCTGCCACTGCCGCTGCACTTGCCAGCCATGAGCCCGGCTTCTGGCTGAGCAACACTCCCCTGTGGGAGTACACTGGCCACCAGGGGACAGCTCCTACATTGAGCATCTACCCCCTGGTGGTCAGTGCACATCATAGTGACCAGTCATTTCATAGTTTGGTCAATTTGCATATTAGCCTTTAATATGCAAATTAAAGGATGGGAGAAAATACAGTATTTTTCTCTTGTTTGCCCTGGTGTGTTAATAAGCAACATTTTTAGAGCAGTCAGAAGATGGCTTTATAATTGGGGGAATGCCTGTATTTTTTTGACATCAGTATATAGGCATTCTAATTAATGAGTATGGACCTTGAGAAGAAAGTGTTCTGGATTTGAAACTTAGGTTTGAAATTTATTTACTGTGTAATATGGAGTAGATCATTAACCTTTAAACTTCTATTTCCTCAATTGTGAAGTTGAGATAAGTTTAATATTCTTTTATAGGATTGCTCTGAGCGTTGGTAGAGATAAGATATCTAAGAGCCTTAGCACAGGACGTGGCATATAATACATCTTAATACATGTTATTTTCTATTATTATTACTTCTGCTATTTTTAATAATATTTAGCGTTCCTAGGTAAATATCTTTTGTATAGTCATGAAAATAATTTTTAGAAATTTCACATAAGGATCTGTGTGACTTTTCTAGTCTGGAACTTACTGATTTTACAAATATTTATTAAGTATATATTAAGTACTGGGCATTTGTATTATGGTCATGACCAAGGGGCGTGCCTGTGTGTGTGTGGTGAGAGCACCTGAAATCTACTTTTAGCAAATTTTAAATACAGCATTATTCACTATAGTTATAATGTTGTGGGGAAGAAACAAACTCTCATATACCCTCAAGGTTCTTCTGGCTGGTCTAATAATCATATAAATATGAGACAGGTTAACAAGAGAAAATAACCAAATTTAATACATACATATGTATGGGAACCCCAAAAATTCAGAGGAAGAAAGGAAGCTTGAGTATATAAGACATCCTAAGTTAGGGATGCATGTTGGGGGCTTCCAAGTGTCATTGCAGGATCATAAGAACAGAGGTTTAGTAAATTGAAGTTTGCCCTACCCTATGGATAGGTCAGAAGTAGTTATCTCTTGATAATAGCTTATTATGGGCAAGATCTCTATGTTCTTCTAATTAGTTAGAGGGGAGGTTTCTCTTAAACCTGCTGCTAAAATTCAAAGTCAAGCTCAAATTAATCAGCATACTACTGAATCACATCTTAGAACGGCTTGTTCTGAACCCCCACAATGCTATACATTAGATCTCTAGACTTATTCATCCTAATAATTGCAACTCTGTGCCCTTCGACCAACATCTCCCTGTTTCCTCCAGCTCCCTGCCCTAGTATCTACCGTTCTACTCTCCGCTTCTATGTATTCAACTTTTTCAGATTTCATGTGTAAGTGGGATCATGCTAATTTTACTTCTTGAAACAATTACTTTTAAGATATATTATACATGTACTGGTTAAAGCCTATCTAAGCCCAGTATTTAAATCCTGGCTTTGCCTCTTATAGTGATCTTGCCCTAACCTAAACTTCAGTTTCCTCACCTACAAAGTTGGCATAATATAAAAACAAAACAAAACGAAGTTAGCATAATAATGGCACCTACCTCCTAGAATAGTTGTGGATTACTTCAGATAATAACAAAAAAATGTGCTTTATATTGTTAAATCACTTTTTAACCTTAGGCAAGCATATAGCTATAAATAATCCCAAAAAAGTGATAAAATTCATCTCTTAAAAGTATCATTTTTCTGTCTTAGAAAGTTTTCACTTAGAAAAAACAGTTAAATCATACGTTTTCCTTTACTTCTTAAAATCATTTCAGTTTTCTAGATAATGAATGTTTTATAGATGCTTCCTTCAGTACATTTGGAAAATACTAAATAGTCTTGTTCCACTTATTTCTCTAACAGTTATTAAATTTTATGAAATATCCCCTCCCCTTTTACTCTCTATTACCTTGCTTAATTTTTCCCCATTGTCCTTATTGCTACCTGAAATTTTATTATATAAATATACCAGTCTTCCTTGAACATGTGAACTTCATGAGAGTAGGAACTTGCTCTTGTTCATCATGTCAGGAAAGAAACATAAACATTTTAAATTGATTTTTAGAGCAAGAGGGAGAGGGAGAGAGAGAAACATTCATGTGAGAGTGAAACATGGATAGGCTGCCTCCTGCACTCCCTTATTTCCCCTTGTTGGGATCAAGCCCATGACCCAAGCATGTGCCCTGACCTAGAATTGAATCAGCAATCTTTCAGTACCCAAGAGACACCCAACCAACTGAGCCACATTGCCCAGGGCAAAACACTTTTTCTTTTAAAACAATATGTATTTTTATTGATTTCAGAGAGGAAGAGAGAAGGAGAGGGAGATAGAAACATCAATGATGAGAATCATTGATCAACTGCCTCCTGCACGCCTCCCCCGCTTCGCTTTCCTTCCCCCCAGTTGGGGATGGAGCCTGCAGCCCAGGCATGTGTCCTGATCGGGAATCGAACCATCACCTCCTCATAGGTCGATGCTCAACCACGGAACCAAACACTGGGCAAAATACTTTTTCTTTGTCCTCTCAGGTTCAGTATTAGAGGGCCCACAAATTAGCAAAAAAAACCACACAGATTTTGATCACATATGTATATATTTTTGAAAGTTTACAAAGAAATGTAACTCAAAGAAGTACTTAAAATTTGGGGCTGATATACCATCTAAGAAGAAGGGGAAAAGAGCACTTGGGAACTTAGAAGTAGAAAGGGTATTTATGAGAAAACAAATGACTTTTTGGAATGGTAAATGGACGCTTAGGAGAATAGGTGGGAGAAATAATAGTTTTATGACTGAAACCTATTTAGATGTGGTACAGGGAGGGGGGTTATGGCAATTTAATATTTTTTAGTCCTTTTGGGAGGCTCTACTTTTAAGCAGATAAGGAATTTCAAGAACAAATGTCTTAGCTCAAAATAATTTTTTTTTTTTTGCCACAGTGGCATATTCTTGATCCCTTCAACCACAGTATTTCTCATACTTAGAACAGTATCTGATATATGTAGAGCACTTAGTAAATATTTGTTGGATGAATAGGCAGATGAGTAATGACATTTGATAAATACTGATATTTGATCAGTTTAATCATGGTTAAAGAAAATTGTTCAGAAGGGGATCCTCTGAAAAAAATTATAAAATCTACAGATTTTCACAGAATTTATACATATATATTTTTTTGGTAATTTGGAACTATTTTTCTATAATGACATATAACCCAGCTATTATGAAAAATTGTGCCAGAGGTTAGGGTTTGAGGTCACTTGATTATTTTACTGAGCCCCTATTACTTAAATACTAATCTGGGGGTTCTAATTTTGCACAGTGTAGAATACAATTTGTTGTTGACTTACACTAAAACAATTTTATAGCAATCCATCATTTTTTTCTATCACCATTTTTTCCAAGTCATTTGTCGGTTTCTGTTTCCCTTTTTGCACCTGTATATCATATCTTACCCTCACTTTCTTAAAACCAAAAAAATTTGGAACCCTTTTCATAGATGACTTCTCCAATATATCTTGCTCTTTGGGAATGCATTAGAATTTGTGGCTTTGCTCCATAAAATGTCTCAAAAGACTATCATATTGAATATTCACCTTAATTTTACACTGATAGTTACTTAGAGCTCATTAAAATATCTATAACTTGTCTTATTCGTAAGGAGAATGGTTGTTTCTCCCTCTGTTCATGACTATATTCTCTTCCCTACTTATTACCTTTCTTTTTCACTGCTTACATGCTATTTCTGCTTTTGAGACTTTCTGCTTCTCTTCCCTTTTTGCATTTATTTCTGGTGTTAGTTTTTACTTTATTCCCTTTTGGTTTCTGTTCTCTTCTCTCTTTTTGTATCTCTTTTTCTTGATCTTTCTGCCCCTCTTCTCACATTGGACATGATACCTCTTTTTCTCTTCTCCCCATTTCTGCTTTAAGCCCATCTTTCAGTTTTTTCATTTGTCCTAACAGGACATGATATAGAATTAAATATTTTTTTAATATTAGTTGTATTTATTGAATACATTAGTTGAATGTTTCATTGTTTTATGGAAAAAGAAACTAAGTTACAGGTTGTTCTTGGTTGAATTTTTTTCATTGTTTAGCAACACTCAATAGAAGAAAGATTGTCTATCTACCCCTGAGTTGGGTAAAGTGTAGACTGAGTGAATATATAAGCTGAACAGTTGAGGCAAATCACATAGAATTGTGTTGAGTTGAAAGGATTGTCTGGTCCAGTATTAAAAACCCATCTCAGGAAATCCACAGGTGAAGAAATCCAATTTATATATAATGTAAAGGTTTTATTCTGCAGATTAGTAGAGTTTGACATAATATGTAATTTTTATTCTGTCCTTGTTACCTAGCTGCTATTAGCAGTTCCACTAAGTATGCATTTTTTTGATGGGGTGATTTCCTTTTGACTTTCAGTGATTTATCACCAAAATTTATTTAAGAAATGTGATAGAAATTAGAATAAAAGTAAGGAAGTTTCAATACCTAGCTTCTAGAATTATCATAAATTAAAGCAATTCATATAGTTTAGTTTTATTACTTAAAACCCAGTTAAATAGACATATTTTTTTGTTTGTTTGTTTTTGTTTTTTTTATATTGATTTTCCACAGAGAGGAAGGGAAAAGGATAGAGAGCTAGAAACATCGACCAGCTGCCTCCTGCACACCCCCTATCGGGGATGTGCCGCAACCAATGTACATGCCCTTGACTGGAATCGAACCTGGGACCTTTCAGTCTACAGACTGACGCTCTATCCACTGAGCCAAACTGGTTTCGGCTGGACGTATGGTTTTATTTAATTGGTATGATAAGCTAGGGAATTTAGTTGAGGATGCAAAATTTGAGTATATTTCTTGCCCTCTACCCCTTCCCCTCCCCAATAATTTACAGTTATCCTATGCTCTTTCTTTCCTGCTGAAATCTTAAATTCAACTACTTCCATCCCATAACATACCAAGAGCTCAGGTTAGTATTATTTTTCAGTAATGACTTTTCTTAGAGTGATGTGATTATTCTGTATTTATATTATATCCTCTAGTCTTTGTGTGCATAACAGTACAACTTTTTAAAGTAATACAATAAATAACTGGATAGAAAGAGTTACTTTGCTGAACATCTTACTTAAGATCCCAGAGAAACAAAAGATCTACTGAAAACTAAGTATTAATAGTAATTTTTAAAATTTAATATGCTTATGTTTCTGTTCTCACTGCCTTACTATCTCATTTAGAGAAAGATATTAAAATTTACTTTAATATAAAAATTACTTTTTTTTTCTTTTTTTCAGGCAAAAGACAGGATTGTGGTAATGCCAGGTATTTATTTATCTATCCATTCACTAGTATAACACTGAACTGGGATGAGGGAAGAGCAAAGGAGGCAGGGCAATATGGGAGAAAGTTTTAGTACACGGTTTTCAGAAAGAATATATAAATTGATTAAATTAAGATGGCAGATCTCTGCTAGAATTTAAAACATTAGATAAGGAAGGGAGAGAACATTTTATCAGGGTTAAGCTCAGAGAAGAGAAAGAAAAGGTAGATTAGAATTGGGCTTTCCCCATGTTTGCTCTCCTACAGTGTAGAATTTTATGAATGAAGATGGTCATCTATAGTGAGGCACACCAAGTTTGCTGCTACTCTGTGTTAGGGCCAAATGTATCAGTTGTTAACAAAGTGTAAGCAAACATAATATCCCTGGATAAGATATAATGCTCAGTTCCTAAAAATCTGATCACCAAATTCTTCTTTGTAGTCAGCACATTTGGATCATGTGTTCCCAATGATAACTATAAGATCAATTAATTATATTACAGCTCATTAGAAACAAATAATTTTTAAAGAATTGTATAAGGTTACCTAGTATCAGAGGGAGACAAATATAAAGATTATCTTAATTTTTTTCTTATTACTAAATTTCTCAAACCTATAAAAAAGTAGAAAAAAAGCATATACTCATTTTATAGATTTAACATTTTGTAACATTTATCTCTTCTTATCCTGAGGTGTTTTAAAGTTCAATTAAAGGCATTCATGACATTTTATCTTTATGCATCTTTGAAAAATAAGGGCATTTTACTGTAATCACAATACCATTATTATATTTATCAAAGTAAACACTAATTCTTTAATGCCATTTAATAATCAATACCCTCTTTTCTCTAGTTGCCCCCAGAATGTTTTTTATAGCTGATATGTTCAAATCAGGATCCCATCAAAGAATAAATATTACACTTGGTTGTTATCTTAATATTTTTTAACATAGAAGTTTTTCTTGCTTTTAAAAAAATGAAATTTAAAAAGTTGGGGCCATTTACATGTAAAATGTCCTACTTTCTAGATTTATCATCAAATTGCTTCCTTTTGATATTGTTTGGCATGTGTTTCCTAGCCACTGCCTACCTATAAACTGGTAGCTAGATTGTAGGCTTGATTAGATTCTATTTAATTATTTTTGGTAAGAGTACTTTATGGGTGATTCTGTATATATCATATTGTACCACATTAGAAGGCATAGAGTGTCTGGTTGTCTCACTACCAGTGATGACAAGACTAACTAGTGGGTCAAAAGGGTGATAGCCAAATAAAGAGACCATACAAAGGTATAGCATCAGAAATTTAGGAAAGCTTTACCTATAGCAAGTCCCTGAAATGTGAACAGATAGAAAGCATATGTTATTTGTCAAATGGAGACCCTTTATTAAAGAGACTTAACTGTTTTTAATGTATTTCCATTTAAAATGAAATGTATTTAGTCTTGACAGTTAATAGCCAGGCTTAGATAATTGTTAATATTAAGGTTGCCTTTGCTTATTATGTAATTTTTAACTTCGTGCAAGGCATACAGAGTTACACAAGGAACTACTTTCTCAAAAGGCTTACTCTTGAGGTGAGAAGATGTTGTATACAAAAATATTTGTGATTACTTAACAAACCTTACCAAGCAAGTGATAATTATATGCTAAGTTTTATGGTGGATATGAAAGACAGAAATGAATATAAAGTAATCATTTTACTTCAGGAACTCACAGAATAGATCTATAAAAAAATTATTAAAATTTCATGAAAATAAGTACCAACAAGGAAAAATTCCCAGATAAGTCAAACTGAATGTGTAATGAATATTCATCATGGAAAAATATAAAGATAAATAGAACATAGTGGTTTCTCTTAAAGGATTTTCATAATGAACCTTACACATAGGTTCACTTACTCACTGTAAAGAGAGGAAATTGAACTAATTGTCTCTTTGGTTCCAACTGTGAAGATGTGTTATTCTGTGTTTTGAAATGTATTATCTGTGTCCTAAAGTTGCTGATAACTAGAACAAAATGGTTTCAGTGGCCAGAAATCTTGTTATGTGTCAGAAAGAAATAACATATTTGCCTTTGAATCCTTATAACAAGCTCTGAGGAAATACCTCTTTTGGTTGGTTTAAAATAATTTATCTAAGATCACATAACTGAGGAGTTACCGTGGCGAAGCCAGAATTCCGATCCAAATCTACCTTCTCCGTCTGTATTCTTTTTACTTCTTAGGGCTCAGAGATGTTATTCTGCCTCTAAGTTAAAAAAAAGTTAATGAGCCGAGACTGGTTTGGCTCAATGGATAGAGCGTCGGCTTGGGGACTGAAAGGTCCCGGGTTCAATTCCGGTCAGGGTCAGGTACCTTGGTTGCGGGCACATTCCCAGTAGGGGGTGTGCAAGAGGCAGCTGATCGATGACTCTTTCTCACCGATGTTTCTGACTCTCTATCTCTCTCCCTTCCTCTCTGTACAAAATCAATAAAATATATTAAAAAAAAAAAAAAAAGTTAATGAGTCCAAAAGAATGTGTGAAGCCAAGTAACTTCAGCATCTTGAGATAAAAGTACATATGTTAACAATCATTAAAAATATTTATTTAATACTCCTATATATTAGAAGACAAGGATATAAAGATCAATAATTTTATATTTATAATCTGGTATCAGTTGAAAATATTCTTTATATAAAAACTTTAAGATATTGCTCATCAAAACAAATGAGTCATCATAAAGTACTTGACTGTGAAGGTTCTATAAAGTAGATTCAGATTTTTCTGTGAAATGAAATAAGAATTTGGTATTATAATGAATAAACTATATAATACCTGGCATTATTCCCATTTCCAGTGACATCATGGTCTTCGAATGCTGATCCAGAGAGAAAACCTTGGAGGTTCCCTTTCAGACACATTTCTAAGGCTGTGCTTTTGTATCTTTGTCCTCTAGTCTGGCCTCCTTTTGTTTTAATTTGATTTTTCTTTAATTGAGGGGGAACAGGGATAGAGCGCTCGGTGATTTTCCTTGTCCTAGATCAGTGGTCGGCAAACTCATTAGTCAACAGAGCCAAATATCAACAGTACAACAATTGAAATTTCTTTTGAGAGCCACATTTTTAAACTTAAACTATATAGGTAGGTACATTGTTATTAATTTAATTAGGGCACTCCTAAGCTGGCCTTTACTAAAAACTCAAGAGGTCAAAGAGCCACATGTGGCTCTTGAGCCATGGTTTCCTGACCACTGTCCTAGAATAATCTTTTTAGATTTAAAGTCTGTAACATATAACATTGTTATATAAACCAGTGGACACAGAAGATTCCATCATAGGTTCTTTAGAACCTATAGTTTGGCCAAAACCGGTTTGGCTCAGTGGTAGAGCGATGGTCTGTGGACTGAAAGGTCCCAGGTTCGATTCCGGTCAGGGGCATGTGCATTGGTTGCGGGCACATCCCCAGTGGGGAGTGTGCAAAGAGGCAGCTGGTCGATGTTTCTCTCTCATCGACATTTCTAGCTCTCTCTCTTCCTCTCTGTAAAAAATCAATAAAATATATATTTTTTAAAAATTAGAATCTATAGTTTGTATTTCATCATTCTTTTCTAACTTTATTCTAGTTTAGGAGAGAGAGAGAGAATAATTCTTGAGTTAATGAGAAACTTCAGTATGGAAATTTATTTATTAAATTTTATGCAAGTCCTATTCTACTTTAATGTATTACTTATTTTTTCCAACAGGGGGTGGCATAACAGACAGAAATCTGCAAAGAATCCTTGAGGGTTCTGGTGCTACAGAATTCCACTGTTCTGCTCGGTCTGCTAGAGATTCAGGAATGAAATTTCGGTAAAAGTATATTATTTGACTCACCCAAAAAGAGACGAGATTGATCTTTATTCCCCCCCCCAAAGGAAAACCTTAGTTAATGGTTTGATAAATGAATGAAATGCTGTGATTAGTACATAAGTATTGATGTGAAGGTGATCTGGCGGCAACATCTGTGACCCCATTAATTGCCGGGGTTGATTCCGCTGATTTAGCTGACTAGGCAGGTGTCCCCTCCCTCCCTCACTGTTCCATGTGCATCCCTGCCAAAGCTTCTGTAGGAGGTCAAAGAGGATGACCTTCCCTGATAGAGAAGAGGACCATTCTTTGGTCATGGGTATCCGCATAGCTACAATCCCCTGCTAGACCCTCCAAATAAGCTCTCAAGGTCCATTTATGGTAGTCAAGTTTCCAAGACTCCAGACACATCCAAATGAGGTGCTACATGTGGCAGTCTCTTTAAAAACACACACAAAACAGTGCAAAACATTCTTATCTTGCTTTAAAAAAGCAGGCTCTTCTAAACATAGGTGAACCATTATATTATTAAGTCATTGCTAAAAGTTAATAATGAACTAATTTAGTATCTCAGCTTCAAGTCAGTCAGATATTCGCCTGTGCTTCCCTTTAGCAAACAATAACTATGATGTAAGGTTGGAAGAGTCATAATTATTTTTATCTCTCCTACCTTTAATACTTAGGCTTCTTTTACCTTTGCTCTCTATTTTCAGTTATTTTGAAATTTTATCACATTAAGGAATTGAAACTATTTTTTTTTTTATTATACTTGAGAGTACTATAATTTAATAATTGGCAGTTGATATTTTATAATTTGGGAAAAGTGAGAAATAAAAGAAGCAAGAGCCTTACAACTTACATTTTAGATACAAAGTCAGTTATATTGTCTAGTAGATTTGGCTACTAGATATTATATTTCAATAATTAATTAATAAAAATTATGTAATGTAGTAGTCTAAGGTCCTTGACTTACCCTTGTTCTAGGCCATGAAATAGCCTATAAAATGAAGTGCCAGTATAGGAGGGCTCATTTAACAACTCATATAATCATCTGTTTCTTTATTGTTTCTATTGCAGAAATCCCTGTGTTGCCATGGGTACCTCTCTTTGTACCTCAGAATATTCTCTAAAGGTAACAGATGTGACCCAAGTAAGGACTTTGAATGCTATTGCAATGAATAGTCTGGTTTAGCCAGACCTCTCTGAGAGAGATGGATATCACAAGATGAAGGCAGAAGAATAGTTTACAGTTCTCTATAACACCGCTTTAACTTTCTTCTCTGGCCAGCACAGTCACGGTGTTTGCTATAAGCCTCACATGGTCATGGAGAATGTTTCTAAGAAGAAAACTTGAAAAAGAGCTAAAATCACTCCCTTTGCCTAATCTTGCCAGCCATCTTCATTGTCATGTTTAAATCTGGTCTGTGTTTCTTCCGTGTACAGAAGTTTAGTCTGATTTCATTGGAGTTATTCGAAGAACTGAGAAAATTCAAATGCAAGATCTGAACTTAGAGAGTGACTTTAGGTACAGTTTCATAGCAATATTTTGCATTTTCTTTTATAAAATAAAAATGTTAATACTATCACAGCAGTCTCTTATTTTTATCCTTACTAGAGTCTGGCAAAATCTGAAAGAGAAGAGTTTTGTTTTGTTTTACCTTCATCTTCTCTTTTTATTATGTATTAGGTATGTTGCCCTGGGCAAGATGCTAAGGATACTGAATACAGTGGCACAGCATAAAAGTCCCTGGATCTGGGAAGCAGGGATAAAAAGTTCCAGACCTACCCAGCCTGCGGGGCTCAGTGGTTGAGCGTCAACTTATGAAATAGTAGGTCACAGTTCAATTCCCACACAGGGCACATACCCGGGTTGCAAGTTCCACCCCCAGTGTGGGGGTGGGCAGAAGGCAGCCAATCAGTGATTCTTATCATCGATATTTCCATTTCTCTCTCGTGCTCCCTTCTTTTCTGAAATTAAAAAAAAAATTATTTTTAAAGAAACAAAAAACATCCCCCGATAGATTATTTGCTAGTCATAAAAGTTGAAACTTACCCTTGTAATAGAGCTATCTGGTTGTTACCCCCTTAACCCAGTAATAAATATTTCTAGCAGCAAAGACTGTATTGCTGAAAGACAGGATTTGAAAGGGGAAGAGGTCATCTTGAGTGTTTGACCTGTTTGGAGGTCTCCAATGTTAGAAGAGCTAAGAGTTGGACCTTGTGGAAAGCGGCTGTACCAGTGCGATGATTAAGCCACTGATTAAGCAATAGCGAACTATAAACAGCATCAGCTCATAGGGTGTCCAGCCATCCCAGTTTGTTTGGAACTTTTCTGATTGTAGCATTGAAAGTTCCATATCCTAGGAAACTCCTCAGTGCCAGATGAACTGGAAAATCTTGGTTACCCTACCAGCTCAGTGAAGTTATTTTGCCTTTTTTCTTAGTCGTCTTCTCCCTGCCTTAATCTTGAAATTAGGGATTGGGAGGGAGGAGGATAGAATAACAAGGAAAATAATTAAAGGAATGGCACTGCTCTCCCTGGCAGTCGCTGGTCCCTGAGATAAGAAAGGGGATGAGATTTAAATTAGATGTGAGTGTTTTGTGGGTGGTAAAAATGTCCTAAAATTGCACAATTCTATGAATATGCTAAAACATATAATTATATACTTTAAGTGGATGAATTGTATGGAATTCATAAGGCTGTTTTTTGTTTTTTTAAATAGGAATGTAAGTATTTTAGATTAGATTAGATGAGCTTGGACATTTTAATATCTGAAAGAGACCAAAAAGTTATAGGATCTGCCTGAGATATGGTCAATGGCAGGGAAGGAGGTTAGATATGGCATGGTTGAAGACAATGGTGGAAGCAAAATATTTCTTGTTTGTTTTCTATTTAGTTTACATCTTTTAATAAATTGGCTACAGTAGTTTGAGTGGATTTTTGTTCCCTGCAACCAAGAGTTGTGATGAGGACACTTGAAGACTATTCATTTCTTCTATTCCCGTACAAGGTGGGGCAAAAGTAGTTTTTACTGTGGGGAGTACAGTTTATACTTGTATTATTATTTATGAATTATATTATTTTCCATATGAACAACTGTAAACCTACTTTGGCCCCATCCTGTATAGATGCTAATTAAATATTATTCTTAGATAAAATCACAAATACAGTAGCTTTATGTTGTATTTCAGTGCTTTTTAAAAAAATCAAACCACATTGGCATTATGCCATTAGTTTATATTGGAGATGTAACAGAAAACAGTCGTATAAAATATTTATATAAGTGTGCTATTGAGGACCTAGAGGAGCTGAATGGGAAGCTCACTGGCATGGCCTTCTGTATCCCCACCCCCAATGTATTGGTTGTGAATCTGACCTACCACCTGGAGAAGCTGCCAAATACAATGCCACCAAGCAGGCTGTGAAGCAGGTGTCTGAGGGCCCCGTCACGGGCACTCTGGGCTATACTGAGGACTAGGCTGTCTCCTGCCACTTTAGCGGTGACTCCCCTCCTCCACCTTCGACCCTTGTGCTGGCATTGCCCTCAATGACCACTCTGTCAAACTCATTTCCTGGTATGACAATTAAGTTGGTGGTGGACCTTAGGGTCCACATGGCCTCCAGAGAGTACCATGAGCATGCCCTTCTGGATTTCACACTGGATGTGAAACAACTAATTGTTGGTGTTAACAAAATGGATTCCACTGAGCTACCCCACAGCCAGGAGAGAAGAAAATTGTTAAGGATGTTAGCACCTACATCAAGAAAGTTGGCTACAACTTTGATACAGTATCATTTAGACCAATTTCTGGTTGGAATGGCAACAACATGCTGGAGCTTTTGGTTCAAGGGATGAAAAGTCACCTATAAAGACAGCAATGCCAGCAGCTCCCCGCTACTTGAATCTCAGGATTGCTTCCGGCCACCAGCTCGTCCAACTGATACGCCCTTGCATTTGTTCATCTAGGACAGTGGTTCTCAACCTTTCTAATGCTGCGACTCTTTAATACAATTCCTCATGTTGTTGTGACCCCTAACTATAAAATTATTTTCATTGCTACTTCATAACTAATTTTGCTACTGTTAATGAATCGTAATGTAAATATCTGTGTTTTCCGATGGTCTTAGGTGATCCTACTAGCGGTTCTCAACCGAGAGGTTGAGAACTGTTGCTGTAGAGCCTAAGACCATTGGATATTTACTTCAGTGTTACAACGGAAGTACAGTCTGCCGAAATGCACTATGAAGCTTTGAGGGAAGCTCTTCCTGAGGACAATGTGGACTTCACTGTCAGTCAAAGGTGTTCATCATGACAATGTGTTTGGAGACAGCAAAAATGACCCATCAATGGAAGCAGCTGGCTTCACAGCTCGTGTAATTATCCTAACCATCCAGGTCAAATCAATGCCAGATGTGCACATAGGCTAGCTTGTCTCACAGCTCATATTGCTTAAAGTTTGCTGAGCTGAAGAAGATTGATCATTATTCTGTGAAGAAGCTGGAAGATGGTCTGAAGTTTTGAAATCTAGTGATATGGTTTCTGGAAAGCCATGTGTGTTAAGAGCTTCTCTGACTACCCTCCTCTGGGCCATTTTGCTATTTGTGACATGTTGCTGTGGGTGTCATCAAAGCAGTAGACAAGAAGGCAGTTGGATCTGACAAAGTCACCAAGTGCTCCCAGAAAGCTTAGGCTCAGTGAATGTTATCCCCAATACCTGCCACCCAAGTGATGGAAGAACGGTGTCCAAACCATTTGTCTCAGTTGCCATTTAATTCCCCCCCCCACATTTTTTTATTGATTATGGTATCACATAATTGTCCTCATCCCCCCAATCCCATCCCAAACCCCTCCTTATGTATGCCCCCCTTCCCCCATTGTCCATGGCCACTGGTCAGGCCCATATGCATGCACACAAGTCCTTTGGTTGATCTCTTCCCCTTTACCCCCACCCTCCCCTACTTTCCCTCTGAGGTTTGAAAGTCTGTTCGGTGCTTCTCTTTCTCTGAGTCTGTTTTTGTTCATCAGTCTATGTTGTTCATCATTTCCTCTAGATGTGTGAGATTTTGTGATCTAAGAAATACCCTTGTAAGAACCTAAATTGAGAAAAGCCATAGTGGTTATGCTGAGAGGCAAATGAATCAGTCTGTAGTGAGTTCCTTTCTGGACCAACAGTTTTTTTGAGTCCCAATTTCAATGTCAAATAGTTCCTTATGTATACATGTTAGCCATGCTATTTCAGATCTGGTTGATGGCCAAACTGTGGTGATGCAGGTCCGACCTTCTCTGGTTTGGTCCTGGGCATCCTTCAGCAACACGCATCTGCTGTCTGCTGGTATGGCGAAGTGTCGTCAGCATCTTCCATCTCTGAATCGTTTCCATTTAATTTTAATAGTAAATGACTAGTTAATGATAACAATGCATCGTAAAACCTTCAGAAGGAAAGAAGAATGTTTGTGAACCATTTTTTTTTTAATGTAAATTGTCCACCACATGGCAAACAGTAATGGATAGGTTTTTTTTTCTAATTAAAATTATTTTTTAATTAAAAAAATGTTTTTGCATTTAAAATCAGTACATTTTAATCGAATTTTGAGACCTATTAAAACAAAGTTAAATGAGAAAAAATGTAAAGGAAAAAATGTTGTTACCACTTAAATCTGGATATCTACTGTAAGATCTTGCACAAGAAAATAAACTCTTTTTAAGTCTATTTGTAATCATTAACTAAAAGCATACAACTCTGTGGTTATCTTGAACATTGAACTTTTGTAGATTTTTCAAAGTTATTGAAATTCACTTATTAACATTTGCTTACTAACTAGAAATGATACAGCGTATTTTCCCCTGAGTCATTGTGATTAAACATTTCTTCCTATTGAATTATTTCTATGCCATCAATTACTTATAGCACACACACACATTGAACCAGTAAGAAGAGATTTAGGAGAAATCATTTTACATAAAGACCAGAATCCAGGCTTTCTGACTCCTGTACATCTTGTGGTCTTTCTTAATGCAGTCTTTTAAATATCCATAATATGGAAGGAGGGAATTCACAGAGCACCTCATCTTATAGAAAACTTGCTTATTTTTGACATATTCAGATTGCATTTTCAGGACCCTAGGAGAGCTTATGATTTAAGGAAGTCCTATGGTGTATCCTTAGGTAACAGGAATCATTACAGTAGTT